CCTGTTCATCAAATGTCAGTGTGGAACTAATGAAAAGAACCACAGAGAGGGGAAGATATTTACAACATATATAACCATCAAAGGATTAGTATCATTTATAGGATACTAATAGATCAATGAACAGGGGGCCAAGAACTCAACAGGAAAATGGGCAACAGAATTAAACAGACACTTCTCAAAATACAACAAAACATCCAAATGTCTAATACACATAGGAAAAAGAGTTCAACTTTACTAGTAGTCATGGAAATGCAAATTAAAACCACAAGATTACATTATTTCACACCCATCAGACAGATGAAATTTAGAAAGCTTAATCTTAAGTGGTGGCCAGGTTAAGAGCATACATGTAAAGAATGTAATAAATTCTTATCAATTTACATGATAAGAATATAAATTGAGACCAACATTGGAAAACAGGTAGCATTATTTAATAAAGTTGAAGATAAGCATACTCCTCGACCTATAATTTACCTGCCTACTTATATACTCTGGTCAGTTAATTGTCTATGAGTACCAGAATACACGTGCAACAATGTTCATTTCAACTTTGCTCTTAACTGACAAAAGCTGGATATACTCAGTTCCTGCTCACCAGCAGAATGGATAAATAGAAGTACTGTCGTATTGTACAATAATTAAATTATTACACAATAATAAACACTATTATATGATAATATTATACAATAATAAAAGTAATGACATTAAGTGAAAAGTTAAGTTATAAAAATTACATACAGCATGAATCCATTATATAAAATTTAAAAACAGACAAAACTAAACTATATTGTTTAGGAGTGCATACAGAGGTGGCAAAACTAAAAATAAAAGCAAGGAAATTTTTACTCTCAAGGTCATGACAGAAATGACCTTTTTGTACCTGAGTGATAGTTATATAAATGCTCACTTTACCACCGTTTGCCAAACTGTACACATAAGCTTTATACAGTTTTCCGTATATTATACTTCACAACAGAAACAAAATTAAAGTAAAAAACAAAAACAAAAACCCAGAAAGTAAAAGGAGAACAAAACAAGAAAAAACACAAGAGACTAGAAACAGACATCCATGTTAATTCAACAAGTGCTAAAAGTGGCATTTCAAATTCAATTTACTTGTTAAGTAGTGTCGAAACTGGAAAGAAGAGACTGCCTGATTTGACTGCATATGGATTTAAAACATCTCTATGGCCACACACACCACAAACAACTTGGAGGAAATACAACACACAGAAGAAACACATGGCCAATAGCTATAATATATTAAGAATGATTGGGGCTTCCCTGGTGGTGCAGTGCTTAAGAATCCGCCTGCCAATGCAGGTATCACGGATTCGAGCCCTGGTCTGGGAAGATCCCACATGCCGCGGAGCAACTAAGCCCGTGTGCCACGTATACTGAGCCTGTGCTCTAGAGCCCACATGCCCCAACTACTGAAGCCCAGGCACCTAGAGCCTGTGCTCCGCAACAAGAGAAGCCACCACAATGAGAAGCCCGCACATTGCAACAAAGAGTAGCCCCCGCTCATCGCAACAAAAGAAAGACCACGTGCAGCAATTAGGACCCAACACAACCAAAAATAAACAAATAAATAAAATTTTTAAAAAAAGAATGACTATAAATCAGTGTAGGTGGGGAGATATGGGCCAATAATACACCGAATAAAAGATACAAATGGTCGATAAACATATGAAAAAATAACCAACTTTATTAGTAGTTGGTAAAGTGCAAAATAGAAAAAAATAATACATAATATGCAGGAAAATTTAAAATACAATGTAATTATTTGTGCAATTATATATTAAACTTATTAAATTATAAAATAATTACAAAGTATACAAATTAAGGGGGTTATTAAAGCCTGAGTCTCCTTCTAGCTTTACCTTCCTTAGTGTATGACTTACACCCTCATGCTCTGCCCCCAGACATTACATCTGTGTCCCAGGCCTAGAGAAGGGTGGAATGGCAAGAGGAAAACAATACATGCCTGCTGAATCTGACCCTGCTTCTCAGTAAAATCATACCTTTCCCAGAAGGCTTATTCTCTAGAATTACACTTAAATCTTGTTGGCAAAACTGTGTCACTGTTTTCCCCTAACATTTAAGGAATTGAGGAGGAATGTATTTTTTAAATTAGCATATTTCTGTCCCAAACTAAATTGCAGTTCCATTAAAAAGCAAGAAGTGCTTAGTCAACTCCTGCTGCAGGATGGAAGCACCTAGAACAGTGCCTGCTACATTGTACATAATAAATATTAGTTAAAGGAATGGGAATTTTCATATTATAATCTACATAATCCCCAGAATGACAGTGAGGGGCATCAAGATGAGACCTGAGTACCAGGAAATTAGGTCAGATAGAACAAAAAGCTCCCTGAGAGATCTAAGATGGAATGGATATAACTATAAAATGCTATTTGATGTCTTTGAAAACACCAAGAGCAGATTTAGACAGAAAGCTTGAGGTAGTGATAAGCCTCTAGAATTGTGCTGTTAACACCATAACCTCCAGCCCCATGCGACTATTTAAGTTTAAATTAAACAAAAAAATATATAAAAACTCAGTTCTGCAGTCATGCCAGCCATATTTTGAATTCTCAATAACCGCACGTGGCTGGTAGCTACCATCTTGTTGGTGCTGGTATAGAACTTTTCCATGACTGCAGAGAGCTCTATTGGATACTGCTTATCTGGAAAAATGAAGTCAATGGAGAAAAAAAAGGAGAGACAGAAAACAAACAACATCAACAGCAACAAAACCTATCAACTTGCAGAAAAACAAACCCTTGTGCAGGAAAAGAAAAATAATCATAATATATATATGGGGTTCAGCTATGAATGGCCTTTTGCTAATCATAATAACGTAAACATTGAATTCTGAATTACATAAATAGAACATTATTGGGAGGATAGAGATGGGAGATGAGGCTTGTGTCTGGTGAGAGTGGGGGTTATATAAAAGAGAACTAAAGCCTGATCTTCCAAGGTGGGAACCTGACAGATAATACCAATGACTGGAAAAATCAGAAAAGAATAATATAGACATTTTGTTAAATGTGTAGAGATAAATAACAAAAGATTCAGTTAAAAGGGTTAAAATTATTGTTTCCAGGGTGGGAAAAATAAAGGAATAGTGGAAACAGGAGGCACTGATTTTAATAACAAGCCTTGCAAAACTATTTGATTCTTAAATGATGTGCACATAAAATTTGGTTAAAATAATTAATAAAATCAAACTGCAGCAACAAAAACTCTTTTACAATGCCATTTCCTCCATCAAATCTTTTCTGGTCCCCAGACGTGACACTTCTATACTTTGATATTTCAGAAAGCATCATCTGAAGCTCTGCTATTGGTACCTCACTGTACCCTGCTTTGTTTTGTAGCCAATTATATATAGGCTTATAGCCAAACTCCTATTGATTCATAAATTCTGAGACTAACTACCAACTGGTTTCAGAAGCTTCACAATATTTTGGTATTTCAGTCTAATATAGAATAAAGAGTAAAGATTCCAATAAAATGTTTGAAGATGTAATAATAATTTAAAAATAATAATAGCTAACATTTATTGAGCACTTAGTATGTATAAGGCATATGATAAGAAGCTACCAATAGATCAAGGTGTCAATTGATTCTTTTTCCACAGAAGAGGCCGTTGATAGGCCAGAAAAATAGAGGTGCTCTTTCGTCTCGAGAGCATAACTCCAGATAAGCATTAATCTATGCCTATTTTTTACTTTTTAAAAGGCCCGTATTATTTTTCAATTTAACACCACCTTTTAAAAAGCACATAATGAATAGTAGGTCATAATTCTAGTTTGCAGCTGCCAGGTGAATGATCTCATAATCCACACAAATATTCCTTGGTCATAAAACCTGTGGAAACAAAATGAACAGGTATAATTAATTCAGATGATAAAATGATGTTCAAATTTTACCACCATATGAATCATGGAAGGGGGAGAGGTACGTATGTTTGAAATGTGACATTACTTCCTAACATTTAACCAAAAAGAACTATAACAATATGTTTAGTTTCAAATCCATATCAAGATGTGAGCGACCCATGGGGTTTTTGCCTTAATACAGGGAAGTGGAAAGGGATTAAATCAGTGAAAATTGATTTCAGGTAGAAAATTGTTGGATGATTTTTACAGAGTCAATGTCTTACACTCTGACTTGCATAATAGAGCATTATCTTCTAGTAATCTATTGATTTCCATTTTACCTGCCCTTGCTGTTCAGAAATTGAACCCTTTTGTGCCTGCATTCACACTTTGCTTCTAGGAAGCATTTGAGTAAATAGAAAATCAATTACCCAGTTACATATGAGAGGCTCTGCATTCCTAGCAGCTAGGCATGCTTAGAAAGGGAAAAGGTGATGAACATGATCTTGGCATCCTCCCCACCTGGTTTAGTATTAGAAAAATGATGGGGCCTAATCTCTCTAATTACGCCCTGTGGATACCTTATCTAGTGTCACCATCAAGTATTTTCACCAATCACTTCATTTTTATCACATTTTTAAAAATTGGTTTTGCCAACTTGATGTTTTCTGGATCTTATCCCCCTGTTTCTTTCACATCAACACCTGTGACTTACCTGTGGCTCACCTGGTGAGCTGTATATGAGCGAGCATAGTTATCTCCATGAAGATTGGAAAATTGACAGGAAGAAAGTTGCAGAAAGCTTAAAGCCCCTCAAAGTCATGCTGATTTTCTTCTAAATTCTTTTGCATGAATATGGTATTAAACAGAGCTGTAGGAAATGAGAGATTAAACATAAATTTGAACCCTGTACTCTGGAAGTTAGGTAAAATTCCATTACATTTGAATACTTCTATGCAAGCAATTTGTTACCCTTTATCCTTTAGTGGAATTGATGAACAGGTGGCTTTCAGAAGATCACTCAGTATATTTAGCTTCTGAAATTTGAGCAACTCGAGATCTGATTGGCTGCTCTGGCCACATGATAATTCGGAGCCCAGGCTCCTCGCTGGCTCTTGCCTGGGGTTCTCAGGAGGGGAGAGTTGGGAGAGGCTTTGCTGCTGAGGAAATTTATTTGGTAGATTGAAGGTAAGGCCAATTTACGGCTTTTTCTGTAATATTCTTTCAGGAGCTGTTCCACAACTTCCCTTGAAGTATTTTCCAAAGTTTGGGTTGTAACTGGGGAAATGAGTGATGCAAATGTGACTAGGAAAGTCTGTAACCCCATTGCCCTACTCAGACCTTACTAATACGTGACATGTAGTGTGTGATTAGAGTCGAGTCCTATATTAACCAATTTATTGTTTGACTGAGTTGGCTCTGTTGTCTAACAAATTTTTTTTTCATTTTTTGCCTTTTTTTTCTAAATATATTAGTACAAAAAGGATCTATGTTCTACATTCCTATATTTATCTGGTTCTACTGGGCTTCATTTGCCTCAGAAGGAGCAGCAGTTTTGCTACCGTAACAAAACCAGCCACAGCTGGGGTATTGATTTACATGGCAAATATCTTTGGGCGAAGGGACAGCTGCTCCAAATCATCATCCACATTTATCAAGGGAGAGTCCTACTCTCTGGCGTCAAACTAAGAAGGCCTTGGGAGATCCTTTTGCTAGTTCCTGAATTAGAAGCTTAGGCCAGAGACCCACCATCTCATATGTACTTCAATCAATGCTTTAACAATTTGTTATTTTTCAGGTTTGAACAGAGCTACAGAAACAAAAGAGAAAAAGCCACACAGGCCAATGGTGTTCGGGAAGAGAATAACCCCATTGCCTTGAGGTTTCTATTTTTTCTTTTAAAGTCTGTTGACAGATTCATTTTTATGTGTTCTAATTTGAAGCATAGGATCTATTGCATACAATGTAGTAGAACAGGATGGAGACCTAAGGCAGCCCTCCTAGAATTTTGGTGCTACCAGGAAAAACTCCAACTTTTTCTGAAAGCCAAGCTGAACTTTCACTAAAATTTTTCCTTGAAATTTTACTTGAAAATACTGTTCTCCAAGTATCTGGAAATGTAAATACTCTGTACCTTTGAATCCAAACCCTTTACCTCCCTTACCTCAGCTTCCTTTTACAACTTTAGCTAAATTGATCATGTAGCTAGAAGTAGCAATACAAAACATATTCCTGTGGGAATCAAGAGAAAGAAATTTGAAGCCTAAGTTTTTTTAGACCTGTATTTAAATGTCTTTTCTCACTTAGCCTGCAAAAATATATGAATATGTAGAATGGATTAGCCTTAAATTCTGTTTTTAGAATGTTATAAGATGGTTTCAGTCCTGGGGATAGGTTCTAATGTATTTTCTAGTGTATAGATTCTAATGTATTTTCATTCGTCTGGAACATGAAAAGTTTGTAGGTGCCACTACTACTCTGGGAAAATGGCAGATGACGAAGAATATGAGGAGGTGGTGGAGGTAAGATTTTTTAAAATCCTGACTCTGACAGCAGAGAATTTTATGTGGCGACAATCAAAATCGTGTAGGTGAACTAATCTTTCGAAAAACACATTGTCTATTATAACTTCTCAAGGAGTCGTCATTAAAGCATAAGAAAGGAATATTTTACGTTCAGTTTCACTATAATTATGTGGGAGTAGAACTGAAAAGAAGTATCACTGTTTCCCACTTCTGCTTTCCTTTAAACTCTCAGAAAAAAAAAAAGTGTGGTGTAAAGACGGATTTTCATTTGTCTTCTGAAGTTACATTCTTCCCCACTTCCCAGGCCCCATGATCAAAGGGACTGAGGGGATGAAGAGAAAGTTCTGAGAACTGAACTCTATTTCTTAGTGTCTGCACAGCCACAGAGGAAAAAGAGCTACTTACTCTTTGCTTCAATCAGCTAATTATCTACGTATAGGGCAAAATGGACCAAGTGTTCAGAATAATATATATATATGAGCTTATAGACATATGGGAGATTTTATATGTGTTTATGTGCACACACATACATATATAAAAGCAAACTCATGAGTTTATTTTTACTTGTCTCACAAGTGACCGCTGGAGCCACACTTCCCCACCAACTCCAACATATTTACCCAAGGGAACAAGACTAGCTTTTGCATTTGAATTTTGAAAAAAAACAAAGATCATAGTGGGCATCTTGAAATATTCCCTCAGGATTATTGGTGGATATCTGACATGAGTTATAAAGTTGTTAATTGTTTATTTTATATTTATATATATTTTTAATATTTATTTTATTTTATTTTGTTTTTATTATGTTGTGAGTTTTCTTTACCACTTCTTGCCTTTAGCATCCATGTGATACATTGCCATTGAATCTGAAGGTCCTTAATAATTACCAATTAACCATGATGATCTACACATGTGAAAATCTCTAGGTGCCCAAGATAGGTGGAGGCAGCTTTGAAAATCTGTGCTTTTTAATAAGAATGAAATTGACTTTAAGAGTTACCCAGAATCAAATTCAAATTGAACGTGCCAAAATTTGTCTTTGGAAAATTATTTTATGGAGCAGTTTATATTTAGGTCAAGAAAATTTTATTCTACAAATAAAATTGCTTTTATTACTAAAGGATATGAAGAAGAAGGAAAAGAAGAAAAAAAAAAAAACCCAGACTGAGACTCATTCAGTATAATGTTCAAGTTCTCTGGCTTAAATGCCAAAGGTCATGTCTTCAGTGTTCAATATTATCACTAGTGCATTTTACATACATCCCTGATGGTCAGAATAATCACTATGAAGCACTAATACAATTATAAATTAAATTGCCTTTCCTATGATGGTAATACCAGGAATACTTTTTAGCCTCCAACTTAAAATACCTCATCTTTCTTAAAATAATTGTGTTCATTGGTCCCTGGAAATTGTCCTTAGTGCTAGATTTGATGGATTTAACTAGATGTCATAAAAATGGAGGAGGCTATTTTTAGGCATCTCACCCTTGCCATTTTGTTCCCATTACTGCTTCTGGGTCTGACCAGCAGGTGATAAACTAATAGACTTTCTGCCAGAGAGAATTGAACCAAGGTCTCTCTGACCTCAAAAAAGATGCCATGAGAATGGGATGGTGGCAGATTTAAGAAAATGGGCAGGGAAGAATTCACAAAACAGGAACTAGCTTTAAAAATATATCTCCTGGGGATCTTGGACAACTAAATAAAATTGTACTGTCATTCTGTACTCAAACTTGGAAAGAAAGGAAAAGGCAGAGATGTACTATCTAATTAGTGGCACAGCTCTAAAAAAAAAAAAAGTGAGATTTGGCATGTAAGTTAATGCCAACCATTTGGATAATGTTGCCTTTTTTGGTAAGCTTTTTTCTAAGACATGTTTACTAATGATGAGAGCCCAGTAAAGGTAAAATTTGATGGCTACCAAAGAGCTGCTTTTACTTGGGTGCTAAGAAAATCCAAAATAGTTGTGAATCATTCACTTTAGTTTAAAATTTCTTTTCAAGTCACTGATGTTTTGTGTGGCCAGAAAAATGGTTCCATGTAGATCAGCATCAAACAGCATTTCCTAAAGTGTCCAAATGATAGTTCCCAGGTGATGAAGGCACAGCACACAAGAGATTCTCTGTCCTGTAAGAGCTTGTGATTTATGTTGCTATGTGTAAGGGCACAGAGACAGAATTAGATTTCAAATTTTAAAGAAATAGTACAGGAGCAAAGAACGCACAGGAGTGGGGGATGTTAAGCAAGTTTTATGCTAATTTTACTGCAAGTGAAACAGACCATGTGGCCTACTGACAATGGTTAAGTAATTTGATGAGAGTTCACTGAACCAAGGGCAAAAGAAAGGCCCCTGAGAGGGATTTTGGCTTCAGTGTTTTTCCCTCCCCCCAAGAGTATGTTTTGGTGGTAAAGAAAAAATGAAGCATAAAATGTTATACATTTTGTTAACTGAGAAAATGAACCAAGTGTTTCATTTTTATCCCTTTCCTTGTATGCCTCGGCCGAAACTAGTCTTTCCTTCTGTTCACCCAGCTTTGCTGGGTGATGCTGGGGGCAGGATTCCACTCTCCTTAGCATCTGAAACAAAATGTCAGCCAGTTCCTATCCACGTTTATTTATTGCTAGTGATGTCAGAAGTAGCTCAAAAGTAGATTTGACTTCATATCCAGCCTGCAGGCACCTCAGAGCCATCAGTGGCAAATCGCTGCCTAACTTTCCCACATTTTGTTGATGAGGAATTTCGCCGTAGCAACGCTTTCAGGACCATCATGCTACTAGAAGCAATTTGCCCATCACTCCAGAAGAAACTCTTATTACTTAGTACTCAGGGTGGTATAGGGATAATTGAGATGTGTCTGTGCTTTCGGATCTATCATTTCCATGATAACAATATTTAAAAATTTTATTCACACTGAGGTTTCTGGTTTTCTTCTTTTTTATTGTTAGTCAGCAGTGAGTTTTATCACAGTTCCTCTCTGCCAACCCACACACTCAAGATATTGTTATTATATTCTTTTCTCAGCAAACTCTATCTAGGGTACTGTAAGAAAAAATTTTACTTGTCTCAAGTAAAATAGCTTCACCAGATAAATAGCCAGCATCAGACACTTTCTTCATCATTCTGTCTGCATCTCCTTGTCCAGTCTGAGGGCTTTCACTGTAGCTACCCTGATGTTTCACATAGTTGGAATGCGTTCCAAAATGTGAACAGCCTCCCTCATCTACATCCTTCCCACAAATATTGAAAACCAACTGGACTAGTGAAATAAGCAAAGTGGTTCTACTGAGGCAGAGCAGAGGTGATTTCTGCTTTAGTTCTCATAATAACTTTGTTCTCTATTCACAGTATTACACAGGGGAGACAGTCTATGAAGAGGTGCCGGGGGAGGTAAGACCCAGCCCACATCTGCACGAGCTGCATGCTCATTAAAGCAGAAGGAGCCTTCTCCTCTCTCAGACTCCCAGGGCCACCGAGCTGGCAAAAGGGAGAATCTGGAGGATCACTCACCTGTGTGCCCAGCAGCCGGTGTTAAAAGAATGAACGTTACCTGTTTTTACTATTCAGTATATCCAAGATGGCTAGGGATGGTTTCCCCTGTTACTCGTATTGTATTTTTGGTGTAGGTGATGCTTATTAGAATAATGTCATTGGCTATCACCACTCTCTGACTGCAGCAAAGGTATTGCCATGGACTTGTGATTTGCATGGGGACCAACAGTTTTATTGTGTAGTGTCATAACTTCTGGGGCACCAGCTCTGCCAAAAGAGATGGCACCTCCAAGCCTTTGTTCTTGATGATACAATAAAATGCTACTTAGATTTTGGCACATTAGGAATTCTGAGAAAGTCATTTCCATAAATATTCCAAGTTGGAACTTTTTTTTTCAAGCTCTCTCATGCTTCATTTTCTGCATGGAGCTGTTTCTCTTGAGCATGACAAATAGTGATATGGATGGCTAACCCTGAAGCCTGCATAAAAACTAACATCTGTAGATGTAAATTGGTTAGTTTCTCACCATCAACCATACATCAGTAATAATGGGCAGAGAGCAACCTATGAACAATGATCGGACAAGAGTAGAGGTAGTTGTCATAGATGTACAATTTCCTTATCCTTTAGGTTTCTATTTTCATAATTGATGCTGGAACTCTTCCTTTGGTACAGATGATATAAGCTGTGAAGGAAATTTTACTATGAGATGGATTGAAGATTTAGCTACTTATCTTCTTTTCTTACATACTGTATTTTTAACCTTGGACTAGACCCAAACTTTGGACCTTCCTTTCTTCCACTATAAAGCCTGTTGTAAGAAACAACAATCTCCCACCTACCACATACGTATGACTGTTGTGAGGCTAACCAATTACCCCATTATGTTGTCATCATTATTCTTGTCTACCTAAGCATTTATTAGTGTAAATGGCACTCCAGTTCACATTAATTTTTTTAAAACATCTTTATTGGAGTATAATTGCTTTACAATGTTGTTAGTTTCTGCTGTATAACAAAGTGAATCAACTCTATGTATACACATATCCCCGTATCCCCTCCATCTGTGTCTCCCTCCCACCCTCCCTATCACACCCCTCTAGGTGGTCACAAAGCACCGAGCTGATCTCCCTGTGCTGACTAAGCCAAAAGAATGGTAATCACTTGTAATATTGATGTGATTCATTTTTTCAAGTTCATCATTCTTTGTCTCATACTACAGAATGCTTAAAACCTGCAGAACAAGCAACCAACTTTTTCTTAGAATCATTTATAAGTTAATATTAAAGTCCAGAATTTGAGCTTTATTTGATTGTCTTCATTTTTTTGTTCCCTGATCCCAGTTTGCTTTTACTTTACCCATGCAGTTTAAGAAGATTTTTAAATGTTTGAAAATATTTTTATTTTTGATTTTTATCCTATCTTAAGGTGTTCCTTTAGGCAAATGGAATTTTAAGGTAATGTTGCAAGTCAGTAAAGAGTAATCATTTTATTCCATGCAACCTAACACAATCAGCATTCAGATTTATGTCACACAATATGCCTTCACATGGGTATAGCATGTGATTTCCTGCTTTGGCCTGCTTTAGATATGGAGAAGTAACACCAGGGATATCAGTCTGACTTGAAGTTAGAATAATGTATATCAAGACTATGGTATCTCAGTTTTTACTTTCATAACAATATTGTCAAATTTTGACATAACTGCATGTCAAATTTTCAGACAGTAACAGAAATCTATGAAACCACGACAACAAAGACATCTGACTATGGGCAATCAGAAACTTCCAAACCGGTGCTGGCACAGCCAGTACCAGCAAAGCCAATGGGGAGGAAGAGAATCATTCGAAAGAAGGTGGACTCTTCGAAGTTCATGACCCCTTACATTGCACACAGTCAGAAAATGCAGGATCTCTTCAGCACAGTAAGTTTCAAACAACTTCTGCTTATCTGGTTTTATTATTGAGAAATTACTGATCTCAACCAACCCTGTTTTGGATGCTGGCTGGATTTTGTTTCTCAACCATGTATGAGACAAAACTTATTTTACAGAAATATAATGTCTTGTAACTCTTGAATTCTGCTTTCAGATAATTTACTTGCACCATTGCAGCATCAGGCGAAGCATCCTTATTGAAATTATCTCCACAAAATAAGCATAAGGCCAACTATAAAGCATTTACTGGATTTAATCACTATTTGATAGCCAGTCTAGAATAATGAAATCATAGTTATAGATTTATAGATATAGATTTAGTTGAAATCAGTTCACAGAAACTAAATAGCACTTATCTTCACTATGTCTGAGCATGATGCCCTTCAAGTAGACTAGCTAACAGTATATAACAAGGTCTCTAGGAGGTATAGTGAAAAAGAAAGTGTAGTTGAAAAAACCAGGATCAGACTAAGAACTCTTCTGAAACTGAGGATCAGAATGTTTTACTGTACCTTGGAACAGCAGTTTTCTAACTGTGGCTGCACATTGGAATTCCCAAGGAGATTTAAAACTACTGATGCCCAGGCTGTTCTAGTTTAATTGGTCCAGGCAGGCCTGGGACCTGTAGAGGAGGATTTTTAAAAGCTTCCCAGGCTCTAATGTGCAGCCCAGGTTGAGAATCACTGCTTTTGATGATCCCTGGTCCTTACATTTCCATGTACAGTTCTGTAAGTTACACTGACTGGCAGCAGGTTTAGACCCCTTTGAATGGATCTGATTTGTTGATTGTCCAGAGTAGACTGAGGTCTCACTAGGTGGCCTGATTGCACATCCTCTGGAGGTTTGAAAAAGATGAAAGGTACTCAGGGGAACATCGGATTATATAGGATTAATGCTTATGTCAAAAACATCCTGTTGTGGTTGGCCAATAAATATTCATTTCTGGTTGAGTGTTAACTACTGGGGACTATTTGGTAAATTTCTAGTTCAGATTATTGAATGATCTAAAATTTAGGTTTTCTAAAATTTAGATTTCTAAAAACAAGATTATCTTGCCTCTTTTATCACAGTCGTATTCAGCAAAGGTAGAAAAATTTATTTGTCAATTTATTGCCATAAAAATCTCATTAATTCAGACACTAATATTCAAGAATTTCTGATGGTCTGAACAAAATGTTGGCAAAGGTTTGTAATATTTTTGAAGTGATTAGTAATTAAATCAATAGTATAATTTAGATTGTTGACTATTCCACTTGAATCTTCCTGAAGCATTAATAATGATAAATTATGCATATTATTGTTAAAGCAAGAACTCGTATATTTAGCAGAAATAATAAAATTGCATTCCTTTTCAAAATACTCACAGTTTAGACTTCCCATTAATTCAGCTGGTGTCTCAGTTATCTAAATTACTGAGATTTAGCTGCAACTTCTGAACTGAATATTTTTGCACTGTATTAGCAATCAAATCTTTTCAGACTTGACTCAATTTCTATACTTATTTCCTAAAATTATTGAGGTTCCAGCTTTTTATGTGTGAATTCAGAAAATAAAAATATTGAAAGAATCATTTTAGGGCATTTTCAAGACAATATTTTATAAAAAAATTTCTACTGTCTCCAGTATTAGCCATGTTTAGGAAGAACAATTAACATATCTATTTTAGTTTTTGTTGAGAATCACAGTAGGGGACAAAAAGAGCTATTATAATTGATAATTGTTATAACCTGCAAGATTAAAAAAATAAGATGGGGATGTGTGCATTGCCTGAAATTTCTGCTACTGTGTTGTCAGGTTTTAGGCTAATATCTGATATTCTTTTTAGAATAAATACAAGGAGAACTATGAGAAAGCAAGAGGACAGCCATACGCCATCACAACTGATACCCCAGAACTTCGCAGAATCAAGAAAGTACAAGATCAACTCAGTGAGGTGGGCTGCATTGCTAAAATAAAGGAGAGAGACATTTCAAATATATGCCTACTACTGGGAATTTGAGGGCTTTAAATAGGTGTGGAGAGAATAAGGGGTCGAATTACTATGAGCCAGTCCAGAAATCTAGAGGAAGCAATGGCCATAGATTATGCTGCTGTAAATGTGAACCTAAAGAGATTTCTAAAAGCTTGGCTTAAAGGTGATATGAGATGGGAGTTCCAGCTCGCTGTGATCCTCCATACTGGAGCACAGGGAGGCTGAAACTTGCCCGGGAAAGCAGACACGCAGTAAGTACAGGTGCTCTATAGATCTTCGGAGATCACAGTTTTCTACCTAAAATGCAGAAACTTGGCTTTGTGATGCAGACATAGAGTGATTGGGTCAGTGCTCTTTATTATAAGATATTCTTTAATATACTCATATGTTCATGCCTGTCATGAGTTCTAATTGTGCATTATTTTTGCAGGTTAAGTATCGAATGGATGGCGATGTTGCTAAAACTATTTGTCACGTAGACGAAAAAGCAAAGGACATTGAACATGCAAAGAAAGTGTCGCAGCAAGTCAGTAAGGTAAGGTCATGGGATGGATAGCTGGGGTACTAAATAGCATGTGCATTGTCTCTGCCTGGCCTTAGAGGAGAAAACTGGACTGGCCAGATCCTGCTCACCAGTCTCACTTGAACCCACAGGCATGGTGGGCTCTAACGGCAACACGTGTCAGGGAGGCTGCACAGGTGACTGAAGTGGCCGGTCAGAGCTATGGGGGTTGGAAAGCCCAGGCCCTGCCACTCAGCTCCAGGCAGGTGTTGCACAGAATGCGGTCCCAGTGTCACCAGAATCTCTTATTTATTTTTTAAAGGAGTTGGGAGGTGAATTTTAATGAGAAATCTCCAAATTTCAAAGGTAGGCAACTAATTAAAACATTAAAAAAAAATACCATCTAAGTCAAACACATCTACCATCCAAATTCAGTGAATGACCAACAGGTTGCAACCTTTGTAAAGAATCTCTAGAGAATCAGAATCATGATTTAGTTTACAAAATTAGGCTTTTCAAGTAAAAGCTTACTAATGCAGGCAAATTATCATGGGATGTCGACATGGTCAATGTTTCCATAATGGATGCTGGTGGCACATCAGCAGGCTTTGCATGAGGACAACTTGAGTTTGAAAGACTCTTCATAGTGCTCTCCTTTGTGCTCTAAACCCTCATGCTCTTGTGGGAGACATCAAGCCACAGGTCCTCTGTTCTTTCTGTCCAGGTTTTATACAAGCAGAACTGGGAAGACACCAAGGATAAGTACCTGCTTCCTCCTGATGCCCCTGAACTTGTCCAGGCCATCAAGAACACAGCCATGTTCAGTAAGGTAAGGGCCTCTGCTCTGTCGCCACTTCTACCTTCTCATGTCCTCCCACACGTCATGCAGAGGGATACCCTGTAAACCCCGGCTAATCTGGAATACGGTTCTCCAACCATTTTGTGAGTAACCTTGAGACATGTGGGGCTGCAGGGGTAGGGCTGGCCAGGAGGAACTGAGAAGAAAGCTCTTGGGCCAAGTAGAGGAGAGGGTCTGAACAACCGGGGAAAACAAAGATGCACCTGAGAGCCTGCTCTGAGACCCACAAAGACCCACAGAGTGTAGAGCCTGTGCTACACTTTGGATATTCCCAGCTGTCACTCTCATTAAAGCTTTAATTTTCTCACTCTTATTAAAGATTTAAGCACAGCAATTATGCTAAGTGCTTCCTGGCTCCTTACATTTGCATTAGTACTTGCTGCAGGAGGCAGGTGCAGTTACAGAGGGGAGATGAAACAAAATCAGACACATCTGCCCTTCTGTAAGTAAGACTTGTCAGGAGAAGCTGGAGAAGCTATTAATAAATATGACTTGGATTGAATGGAATTTGTGAATTCCACTTACCTTTGCTCTCACCTTGCCCTGAGTTTTTATGCCATCGATGGATGAATTCAAAATTATATATTTCAAGTAAGTGTGTTCTCACGTTCTCATAACTTTCATTCTTCCCTGATTTAGAAACTTTACACTGAAGACTGGGAAGCTGACAAAACTTTGTTTTATCCATATAATGATAGTCCGGAGCTGAGGAGGGTTGCCCAAGCCCAGAAAGCTCTCAGTGACGTAAGTGCAGTGCAGTGTGCATGTTTGGGAGTGTGGAATCAGGACACCTCGAATTATGTCTTCTAGCCAGAAGTTCATTGCAACTCCTCCTGTAAAAAGACTAAGTGCTGTTATTGCAAAGGAGTACATCTAGAATCATCATAATTTATGATGTCCAATTTAAATTAGATTTTACAATTTATATTACATATAAGTTAGTCTAATGCCCTCTTCTTACTGATGAGGAACCTGAGTCTAAGGTCACATAAGTAGTTAGTGACAGAGCCCAGACCAAAAGCCTCGTCTTGTGATCCTAAGACCAATGTTCTTTCCGTTAGAGCATGTGTCCTTCTATCCCGCTGGCTGGAGTTAAGTTTTTCTGTGACATTAGAGTGGCATTTAAAAAAACGTATTGGGATTATATCCACCTTCCCAATTGTATTAAGGGAACAATGTTATTGAAGGATTTTGATTTGCTATCCTAATCATAAAGTCTGAACTGTGGTATGTCCCCTACTTCTGCACGAGGGACCTGACTACATACTTGTCCAAACATCTTGGTGTGGTTATCTCACAAAGAGCTCTCGCCATTGAGTGTACATAGAGGATATTTCAAAATTAGTGGAAAAAAAAAAGAAATTTCAGCAGCCCCACTGGCCAGAATTTTAGTATCCTAGACCTTGAAATCTTTATTAGAGGAACTTAAAAGGCATAATAGAGCTCTTAGAATTGAGAGCAGCAGCAGGAAAGATGACCACTTGGGTCCAGCACTAGCCCTTGTTTTGAGGTACTTTATTTCTTGACCCCTTGATTTGCTAGAGGCCATACTGAAAATAAGACTGCTCTAGGCTTCAGGAAAACACTGTATTATAGAATGAGACATTGTCTTTCATTCAATAGACCCCTGAACCTCTTACGTTAAACATAGACTTAAGTCACTTGGCATCTTGAGACTCATTAGAATGCATCCTAGGATCCTATCTTGCCCTGAACTGAAGTTATACATACTCATTTGAAGGTATCTCCAACTTTTGAGCTCTATTTTTTAATTCCTATCATTTGATATCACCTGCAAGTTTAATAGACATATTTCTATCCCAGTTTGCATATATTTGATTAAAATATAGCACAGATATAATCCTATCCTTCCACAGGGTAAACTAGGAAATAACGGAGGCATAGCAAAATTTTAAGGCCTGCTAGTAAATGGCAGCAATTTTAATGTGTGGGGACCTTCTGCCTCTCTTTTAAGATTAGCTGTTTGGTTTTGTCTCATAAATGTATAATGTTGTTGTGTGGCCTTTATCAAGTGATCAATAATTTTTTTTACTGAAAGTCCATTATGCATGCATACCTGGCAGGATGAAAAAGTACAAGAAATTTTCATCCTTTCCCCCTGAGAACTTAAAACCAGGCTGGTAAGATGAAAGTGTTCTATAACAAACAACAAGACAAAAATTAAAAAATTAAAAAACAAAAAAGCCAAAGCCAAACCCTACAGTCTAATATTTGCTAAGAGAAAGACAGGACATGTGTGAATAATGAGAGAAAGCCATGTGGAGGTGGTGATCCCAAGGGAATAGGTAGTGATGACCAGGAAAGGCATTCTGAGGAGAGATAGTACTGGACAAAGGGACAGAAGTGAAATGAGTCTGGAGTTTCAGGGGACAAAGAAAGTGAATGCTTGCTGTGATCAAACATAATGGAAAAGAATATAAAAAAAGAATGTCTCTATATGTATAACTGAGTCACTTTGCTGTACAGCAGAGATGGGCACAACATTGTAAATTAACTCTACTTCAATTTAAAAAAATCGAAAAAAAAGAAAAGAAAGTGAATGCTTGGGTGCTCAGTTAGGAAGGCACTTGTAAGAAACTGGTAGCAGGACCTTGAAAATCAGACAAAATAGCTTTGATATAATATGGTAGGCATTGAGAAGCATCATAAGATTTTGGAGAGGAAAACAACATGATAAAAGTAGAATCTCAGGAGGCAGACAGCAGAAGCATGAAGAACTACAGTCCTGCAGCCTTTGGAACGAAAACCACATTCACAGAAAGATAGACAAAATGAAAAGGCAGAGGACTGTGTACCAGATGAAGGAACACAATAAAACCCCAGGAAAACAACTAAATGAAGTGGAGATAGGAAACCTTCCAGAAAAAGAATTCAGAATAATGATACTGAAGATGATCCAGGAAAAAGAATGGAGGCAAAAATGGGAAGATGCAAGAAATGTTTAACAAAGACCTAGAAGAATTAAAGAGCAAACACCTGAAAGCAGAATCTGGAGAAATTTTGATGGACCATATGGTGGATTGAGACAGGGAACATCATGATTTGTAGAACATTATTTTAGTAATACAGACAAATCAGAGGGAAGATGGAGACAAAGGAGAGGAAGAAAGGAATCTGAAGGTGGTATTTAAAAAAGCGTTAATGACATTAGATATTGGAGATAAAGGTGAGAAAGGAAACATCCGTGAGTTTATGACAGACTGGTAGTCTGGGTGAATAGGAGTATAAGTGGTAAAGATACCTTTAGTGAAAAGAGAAATAGAGTTGAGATAATGGAAGAAACATTCAGATCAAGGCATTTGATAAACTAGAAATTTAGTTCTATTGCACAGGTGTGAGATCAGGACAAGAGATTAATATTTGAGTCAAATAATTGACTCAATTATTGAGTCAAATAATTTTTAAAAACTGACAGCTGTAGACATGAAAATGTATGAGGGAGGCAGAACAGTGTATGGCCAAGGGCAGAGTTCTGGAGGACACCCACAGTTAGGACACCTGGAAAGGAGCCAACAGAGGAATGACAGAACAAAGGTCGGAGAAGTTGAAGGGGAACCAGGAAATGCCATGTCATGTAGGCCTAGGGAGAAGTTTCCAAGAAGACTCTTAATCTCCAAATGTCTCCTTTTACCCACAAAATGGAGAGATGAAGGGTCACCTCCATGCCACTGTAGTGCTATGGACTTTGAACAATTAAAGTTGACCACATTTTTTTGAGATATCTCAATAGAAGACATAATGAAGAAGAATTTATAATAACGAAGTAGAATCTTCCCATCCTTGCCTCAGAAAGACTTGGCAGTTGAGGCATGGCTTTTATTTTTGCTGCAGACCAAATATCAGATTACCAGCATGCCTATTAATACTGTTGTCAGCACCGTGAACTTCTACAATTATTGGACACAGGGCCCCAAACAAGCTGTTGTCCACAAACATACCACTGGGTAGGTTCATAGATTTTGAGCTAAGGGTTTGGTTTCAGAGGCTCTCTCTCCCTCTCTGTGTCCTTAACCCTACTTACCATGTTTTCCTTATTATCTATTGAAGTAGAGACAAACGACTTTGCAAACACTGAGAGTCTTTAAGCCGATCCAGAGTACCGAATTCCAACTAGACAGAATTCTGAACAAAGGTTCTTCAGAAATTAGGACTTCTAGATCTGATCTCTCAGAAAGTTCTTGACAGCATGTCATACTTAGTAAGCATTTCTCCTGGCAGAATGTTGCTTTCTCCTTAAGGACTTAGCTAGTCATGGAAAATATAGGTTGCCCTATGCCTAGAATAAGTCTTCACTTATTTAAAAGAAAATAAGCCATGGAATTAATACAAATACATTTTAAAATCTGTCTTTTGTATCCCAATCGACTTAGTGTTTGTGAAAGCGTTTATATAGGCACTAGGTAGATAATTTTAGAATAAGATATAGTTAGACTTGGTTAAAGTATGGTGAAGATGATTGTGACCTTGGAACTATCCTACCTATTTACTTTATATATAAGGATACTGCCACATGGAAGAAGAAATCGTCTATAGAAATCTCACAGCTGAGTAGTGGAAGAGCTGGGAGGATAATTCTCCTCTTCAGATCTCCCCCGATGGCCTCAGTTTGTAAAACACACATTCAGAAATCAGTCATCAAACCCTCGCTCCAGTCAGGTACTAGACAGGGAACAGGGTTCCCAAATGAGAGGTTGCCATCCCAGAGCTCACAGTCCAAGGTGGGACAGACATGTAAACAACCAGTTACAGTGTCATCCGATAATTCTTTTAAAGGAGGTAAGGGCCAAGTTGAGTGAGATCCCAGGAGAAGGTCATCAAGACAAAAAGGGCTCAAGAGGTGAAATCGTGCCTGTCCTGAGACCTGAAGAATGAGTAGCAGTTTGCAAGCAGATGGGGAGAGGGTGGAGTTGGAGCTTCCAGGGAAAGGGAACAGCATGTCTGAGGTTCAGAGGCATAAAAGGACCTTGTGTGTCTGGGGATCTGTGAATGTTCTACATTGTTAGAGGCAGGGGTCAAGACTGGCGGAAGAAAAAGCCAGAGAAGTCAGTAGTGGAGAAAAAAGGGAGAACAGGAGCCAAGGGGTTGTATAGTTAATGGGCACAATGCTTATTTTAAGGTTCGAGAGGCCTTTTGTAGGCTGAAGGAAAGAAGCCAATGAAGAGGGAGCCGTTGAATCTGTAAGAAAGAAGAGGGGTGGCTTCTAGAGCTGGGTACCCAGGGCTACTGGAGTGAGCAGCACCCCATGTGCAGGACTCATGCCCTGCAAGGGATGCTTCCTCTGAGCCATGAAGGGGCTGGGAGAGGCAGGGATGAGGATAGATAAAGATAAGTGTGAAGCCTGTCTTTATGAAAGAGGAAGCTGAGAGGAAAGTGGAGCGGATTGCACAGTGTTGGGGTTTCAGACGAGTCACTGGGAGTAGAGACTGACCAGAGACACAAAATGGGATGTTCAAGCTTCAGTAAAGGCGAAGTAGCAATTGGATACCATAAATGCAGAGTTTTGGGCACAGAGCACCAAGCAAGTAGCTGTTCACAGAACATACCATTGCGTAGACACATAGATTTCAACTACAGGCTTGGGTTCCAGAGGCTCCCTCTCCCACCTCTGCACCTTCTTCCAGTGTCCCTTTTAACCCTGCTTATGGTGCTGTCATTTCCTAATCTATAGAGTTGTGTGATTTTCCTCAGCAGCACTCAGCATCCTGGATATAAGAACAGCTGAAGTGTGTGCTTGACTTTTCCAGAGCTGGGAGTTTGTGAGCAGGTGTGATGTAAAGACAAGGGGACGGGAGTTGAGGGTGCTGGTTAAGAGAATAACTTTAGTTGTAAATCATGGTGTGGAGACGAATGGAAGGGGATGGATGTAAGGCCAATAGTCTTGGAGAAGGAAGACTCAAAGAAATTGAAATCACTAGTAAAGCTGAGAGAAAGGGCCTGTAACATTTAAAAGGATAAATTATGGTACCCTAAAATGTAAGACTTCAAATAAAGTGGAAGACATAGCCTTTTCTAAAAAATATCAACAAAAGGAATGTGGGAAGTAGATTAATTTGCTATAGCTCTCGAGCATCCCTGTCTTTTATTTTGTCAGATTGCCTACAAAAAAGGTCACGCTGAACAGCAAACTCAATTCACATCTCTGCCGGATCCTCCAGATATAGAATTTGCCAAGAAAGTGACCAATCAAGTGAGCAAGGTAAGTAATTGGGGCTGGGACACTGTTTCCCTTGAAAACTGCTGAATAATTTCAACCATCAGAGAAAGTAACTAAGGTAAACCTAAAAACGCAACACAAACACTAAGAGTATTTGTGTATATGACCGGAAAACTCTACAGCTAAAGAAACACATCCATTAACACCATGGAACCATGTTAATAAATACTCAGCCAGCTTGATGACTCAGTGATTGATACATGGGAAAGTGTTTTGAGAACAGAACCCATGTCCTGATGTCCTTTGACATTCTGACTTATGAGAGGGATACTAACAGAGTAACCAAGTAACTGCAAATTTCCACAAAGGATCTGATTGTTTTAATTCAGTGCAGACCCTGTATAGTTTTATGCTCAGAGTCAGACTTGGAGAAAATAAGAGTGCATGAGTGGTCTCTCAGATGTAGTTTGGTTAGACAGCCCTGGGAAGTGCACCTCACAATTTTTAAGGCCCTGGCAAACAGCTTACTCTGTCTGTATTTAGTCTGGTAAACTAGCTCTGAGGAATGCAGCCCTGACAGGGAATGCAGAGAAACAGATGTTCAACTGATGAATAGATCCATGCTAAATTCCCATTTTATTTGTTTTGTTTTTGTTTTTTGTGGTACGCGGGCCTCTCACTGCTGTGGCCTCTCCCGTTGCGGAGCACAGGCTACGGACGCGCAGGCCCAGCGGCCATGGCTTACGGGCCCAGCCACTCTGCGGCATGTGGGATCCTCCCGGACTGGGGCATGAACCCGTGTCCCGTGCATCGGCAGGCGGACTCTCAACCACTGCGCCACCAGGGAAGCCCCTAAATTCCCATTTTAATTTGGCCCAAATCAGGCCACTTTCTTCTGGGATACTGCTGCTTTTAAATACTTTCCTTTGCCCTCTGTGGAGTTGACTGTCAGTTTGGTCTTCTGCTTGAATTGTGATGGGACCTCATGATTTCTATCTTGTTTAAGTATTTTGGGGGAAATTATGTCTCCAGTAAAGGAGAAGGAAGAAGATTACAGATGATGAAGTCTATTCTGCAGTATTTTTTAGTGTCTGATATTGCAGATTACCTACTGGTGTAACAAGGGCTATTTGGATAAAAGATCTACTAAGTACAGTAAATTTTCACTGATAGGAATACTGTGAACCTGAAATTTTGCCCAGGCAGGCTAAGTAGATATTAACTTTAGAACTAACTATTCACAAAGAGATGGCCTCCTGAAAGTGTTGCTACTGTAAATAAGATTGGCGAGAAGGACAATTAGAGAGAAGGATGGTTATTTATTTATTTTTGGGGGGGGGGGGGGAAAAATGAAAAACGGCTTTCAAGTAGTCATTTAGAAAGAAAAATAAATCTATTTTTAATATTTGTAACATTTTTTTACCTCATTTGAGTATGCGGGGTGGGTACTTGAAAGTGATTTTTTAAAAAATCTATTTCAAACTCCTCTATAATCAGTCTCCACTAATTTAGGCTGGCCAGTTAGTCTAGAGCTGCACTTTTTTTTTTTTTAACATCTTTATTGGAGTATAATTGCTTTACAGTGGTGTGTTAGTTTCTGCTTTATAACAAAGTGAATCAGCTATATGTATACATAAATCCCCATATCCCCTCCATCTTGCGTCTCCCTCCCACCCTCCCTATCCCACCCCTCTAGGTGATCACAAAGCGCCGAGCTGATCTCCCTGTACTATGTGGCTGCTTCCCACTAGCTATCTATTTTACGTTTGGTAGTGTATATATGTTCATGCAACTCTCTCACTTTGTCCCAGCTTACCCTTCCCCTCCCCATGTCCTCAAGTCCATTCTCTAGTAGGTCTCCATCTTTATTCCCATCTTGCCCCTAGGTTCTTCTGACCATTTTCATTTTCTTTTTTTTTGCATTCCATATATGTGTGTTAGCATACGGTATTTGTTTTTCTCTTTCTGACTTACTTCACTCTGTATGACAGTCTCTAGGTCCATCCACCTCACTACAAATAACTTAGTTTCTTTCCTTTTTATGGCTGAGTAATATTCCATTGTATGTACGTGCCACATCTTCTTTATCCATTCATCTGTCGGTGGACACTTAGGTTGTAGAGCTGCACTTTTAATAGAGTAGGCACCAGACACATGTGACTATTGAGCACTTGAAATGTGAGGGTATAAACTGAGTCCTATATGTGTGAAATATACACTGGATCTTGGATCTTGGACACTTGGTATAACAAAAGGTAAAATAGCTCATTAATTATTTTATATTATGTTGAAATGACAATATTTGGCATCTATTGGCTTAAGTAAAATACATTATTAAAATTAATTTCCCACCTGTTCTTTTTTTACATTTTAAAGTATGGCTACTAGAAAACTTAACTTTACAGTGGTGGCTTGGATTATATGCCTATTGGATTGCAGCAGTCTGCTGGATGCAGAGACAGCATTGGGTACTTTGAAAGCATTGCTACAACTGGGTTTGCTTTGTGGAATAACAATATGATCCTAGGGGAGGAGGGCTGTGGATGAAGGTCATTAGATTCAGCCATGGTGATAGTTATTTATCCCAGTCTCATCCAGATTTCCAACTTCTAAATGGCTTTTGTGCATCCAAAATAATAGTCAAATAATAATAGTCCCAATATAATAGTCCCAAAATAATAGTCCTAATAATAATTGGGAAGAAGTGCTTGTGATGGGTAGCAGTCCATCCACAACAAACCATCCAGTAAGAGAGGTGTAGTGCTGCCAGGGGTGACTCGCTGCCTTTCTTTTAAAGTCTTCCTCACTCTTAAGCTGCTTTGACCCATGTTTCAGTATCATTTCCTTTCTCTCCAAAAACGTAAAATCTCCTTTATCTACTCCCTTTCGTGCTTTAATTTCTTAGCATTTCCTTGTCAGATTATGTCTCCCAGACATATGTCTTACAGCCTCCAGTTCAGATTTTAACATAAGGAACACATATCTGTAATGATTATATTGCCGTTACATTCTGTTTACCATCCTTCCTTACTGTACCTTTCAGAATCAAGTCTTTGGCCAAAGCCATCAAGTACATGCCAGCACCTCCTCCTGGCTCAGCACGTTTTATAGAGATGGGTAGGCAGGCAGGGCTGTTCGCGTACACCGTGCCTACTACAACCAGCTGGGGTTGTTACAGGGGGTTCTGTAAGAAACACTGGGAAGTCCCTTTAGCTTCTCTGTGCCTGCTTCTCTGCTTTCTTCCAGACTCGTGATAGGAAAGATATAAGATTTCAGCTTGGAATTTCCAGTTGACACTAGGGCTAGACCTGAAAGGAGAAACTGGGATCTAGAATGTTAACCTTTTGAGAAGAAAGGATATAGGGTGTTAGAGAGAGGGCTGGGCTTCCTATAACTCAAATTCTCTGGCTCTGCGTATCACTCACCCTTGGTACTTGTTCTTTAAAGGCGTAACAGAAAATGACTTTCTTTTTCTTTGAAGAGTATGGTGGGGGTACAGGCAGGCAAACACTTTGAGACCCCCTGGTAATGTCTGTGAACACATTCTATTGATCAAAGGAGGGGAAATTGCTCTAACCCAGCTCTGGCTCGGGCTCATGTCCCAAATTTGGGGTTAATTCTATTCCAAGAACATTCAAGCCAAGGTAGTCAATATATCATGGACTAGGTTCAATGTAACGTAGTTGAACATACATTTATGTGGTAACTTCCGCATACTGCATTTTGTGTTAGATCCGGAGGATTCAAAAATGAAAAAGATATAATTCCGCTTTCCAAGGAGCTCACAGCCTAAGATTCAGGTGGTGTGGTGTTTGTGGGTTAATATGGGACAGCAGTTCGATGTTTTAATTACTTGTCAGTTCTCATTAAAATTTCTTTAAGTCTAAACCAGGAAGTCTTATTCATTGGCCTACATGCCAAATTTTGTTGTGGTGTTGCTTTCTGGATAACTAGGAGTTTTGGTAAAGCTCAGAAATTAATGGCAAAGTTCATCGGGCATGAAAATCTGGGGTTGAGTGGTTTTATTATAACTATGAATTATAAAAGGAAGATGCATCCGACTCTCTCTTCCCTCAAACATCAGGGACAATCTGTGAGTTCTCAATGAACTAAGTCTCTAAACTCAGCAAAGGGGGGATTGATACCTCTATCCCCTGCACCCAACCTTCTTTTGGGTAAATTGACACTATACTGGGAGATTTGAAGACATCTGTTAAGTACCCAGGAAGGGCCTGGTCAAGATATTTTTAAAAGCCAACCACTACCACTTAATTAGCTGCCTTATTTGGCAATTCCCAGATTTTGCTTGTCTTATTTTCTTTCTTTCTTTCTTTTTTATCCTAGCAAAAATACAAGGAAGACTATGAAAATAAAATCAAAGGCAAATGGAGTGAGACACCTTGCTTTGAAGTTGCAACCGCCAGAATGAATGCTAATAACATCAGCACAGTAAGTAGGAATGGATTGCCAGATGTCCTTGGGTTGAGAGGGTGACCCTTTCCTGTATGACTTCTAGCCACCTGCTGCTCCTGCAATGGTACTGGAACATTTGAATCTGGGCATCTCTTCTTGGGGGTAAGACCTGTGTAGTGTTCCTATTTAGAAAGAAATTCCGCAATCTTTCCTTCCTTTTGAGAAATGCTGTTTTTTTTGGATTCCATTATTCTTGCCTCGGTTTTCATAGGAACAGTATGGTTTCAAAGTGAGTACAGGTGAAAGGGGCCCTTTTAAGTTTATTCTGTATCTGGGCACTCGAACGGTGCATTTATGAAACTGATTAGTTTCTTCCTAGATTCTCCTCCCTGGAAAACGTAAGTCCTCTTTTTCTCTTCTCTTACGTTCTCTGCCTCTGGCCTTTGAGCGCTCCTTATCTGAGGTTGTCTTTCAGCCCATTATAATTTTCCCAAGTCTCTGTTAAGTTGCTAATGGTTTTTGAGACGGCACCACATTCTATAATTGTAATCTGACCTGCAGAAGCTAAGAGGAGCATGGCTTTGGGTAACATCTCCAAATGGCCTCTGTCCTCCCGTATAAAATATTTATGTAGTTTGTTCCCTCAGCAGTTCTCCAGCATGTTTAATGTCTTACAGAGGAAATACCAGGAAGACTTTGAGAATATGAAAGACCAGATCTACTTCATGCAGACTGAAACACCAGAGTACAAAGTGAATAAACAAGCTGGGGTGGCAACTAGCAAGGTATGGGGACATTCGCTCTTTTATCTTGATGGTCTCAGTGTGGGTGAATTTCTTACAACTCTTACTTTTGTATATAATGGGAAAAAAAAGGTTCTTAGGGGAACAGTAAGAAAAATACTTTGGGATTACAATAGGGCTACCAAATTTTTTTTTAATTGCCATGTAGGAGAATTCACAATACTCAATTACCATCTTCAGCATTTCTTAGACTAAAGGACGTTCTGATACCCAACAGTAGAAAGGACAAAAGAATTTCTCAAGAAAAAGCAACTGGCAGCCTTATATGCATATAGACACTTCACACTTACAACCACCATCATTTTTCTATTTTCCTACTAACTGGTGAAAATATAGTCACAGACAAGATACTTGAATCCATGGATCTGCTCATATACTCTATAGAGTGACTTTGGTAAATAGTCTACTCCTAAGCATTCTAAAGCGCTAGAAAGAGCAGTTAGTTCAAAGCCAATCAGACTTGATTCTAACCCTGGTGCTGGCTCTGCTGGAGCAGTGAAAGCAGAAAAATCACACCACTTAGGAGGCTATTTCAGTATCCAGGTGCAAGACAGTGACATTTTGGACCAGGAGGGTAGCACAGAAAGTGATGAGAAGTATTTTGAAAGTAAAGCTGACCTGATTTGCTGATGGGTTGGATGTGGGATATGAGAGAAAAGTTTTGGTCTAAGCAACTAGGTGGATGGGGTTTCCCTTTGTCAAGATAGGGAAGATGGTGGAAGGAGTAGGTAATTTCTTTTTAGAGGGGAGACCTGAGCTCTTCAGATATGTAAAATTTGAGATGCCTTTGAGACACCTAAGTGGAAATGTCAAGTGGGCATTTGATTACATGAGTCTGAAGTTTCAGGAGAGATATCTGGGAAGGCTGTATAAATGTGGGTGTCAGTAGCATATGGACTGTATTTAATGTCATAAGACTGGAGGCCATCAAGGGAGGAAGTGTAGACAGAAAAATCTAAGAACTGAACTCTGGAGTGCTTCCATGTGAAGACATCAGTGAGATGGGATTGGAGCAAAATTAGGAGAAAGTGATGTCTTGGGAAGCAGGTGAAGAAGGAAGGGAGTGAGCAACTGTGGCAAATGTTTCTGAAGTGGATTTATCAATGTATGGTCTCTGGTGAACTTAATAAGAGCAATTTGGTTGAATCTGCTTAGAGAGGGTTCGTGAGTGAATGAAAAGAGAGAAATAGAATATGAGTGTACTCCACTCTTCCAAAGTATTTTCCTGAAAAGAAAAGAAGAAAAAGGGGTAGTAGCTGATGGATAAGTAGGTGAAGAGGGGATTTTTTTAGGTAGGAGACAAAAATACCATGTTTCTATGCTGATAGAAGAAAAATCCAGTGTAGTGGGAAAATGTGATGATGTTGAGGGCCGGGGGAAGAAAGTGGCTGGAGTGTTGTCCTAGAATAGGGGAAAGGGGAAGGGACCTGGCACTTGAGGGGATGGCTTCCGCAGAAACAGGAGAGGAGGTTGCGAATCCAAGATGCAGATAGGCCGATAGTAGGGTTTGTGAAATTTCCTTTCTGGTTGTTTCCATTGTTCAAGGAAATAGGTAATTCTATAAGATAGAGAGGTTATCTATATCCTCCACTCCTGTAGAACACCCCCTGCAATTCCCCTGTTTGTGCTCTAGGGGGTGGTGCATCTGTTTCAGAGTGTATCTCCTGCCTTTGGATACCAGGATGATTGTATTTGTTTCTGAGGTTCTTAAACGTTGGCAGATTATCTAGGATTCCCTCAACTTGACTGTATTCTCACATTACATTGCTTGAACAAATGGCTGGCACTGGAGATCATGGTCAAGATTAGGACCAGTTTCTTGTTTTCTTTCCTTTGGACATGAGCCTGAAGGGGGCTTTTGTGCCCTCACTTAAAGCTTCTGTCATAGCTGGAATTGAAGGTGCAAAGCAGCGGGGGCAGAAGGAGAAGATGAGGTTGCCAGCATTCATCTAGCCCCAGCCCCTTCCTCTTCCTCCCGCGTGTACATTAAACACACATGTGCTCACACACATAGTCACGGATAAGGCATGAAGCTTCTAGCTTTTTTCTTTAAAAATGTGTTGGCACATAGGCAGGTGGAGGTTAAGAGATGAATGAGGGTTCTGGAGCAGCAGGTATCTGGGGCATGATGTACTGTCGTTATTATTATGTGCATCTTTCTTTTATTATTTCTCTCGCCCACCCCCACCCCCCACCCCGCCGCCTTCCCTCCCTCTCTCTCTGAGGGCAGGGACCATGTGTTACTCTTTCTTGTATCTGTCCCAGGGCCAGGAACGTAACCAATGCCCTATGGATATTTTTGAATGAATAAATGAATGAGAAGAAAAGATATCCTGAAAATGTATGCAGTTTCCCTGCTGCTGTCATAAGTTACTATGAATATTTTGTTTATGAAATGTCAAGCTGCCATTTTTCTAAAGAGAAAATCGATTTGTGGAGCTATGTCATAATACCTGTAATAGAGACGAGAGCAAAAATAACCTGGAGAGTTACTTTATCACTTTATTTCACTCCTACAGGTAAAATACAAAGAAGACTATGAAAAGAATAAAGGAAAAGCAGATTATAATGTACTTCCTGCTTCAGAAAACCCACTGCTTAGGCAGCTGAAGGCGGCAGGAGTTGCCCTAAGCGACGTAAGTAATACTCTTGTCAAAAGTGTGTTTTTAACCCTAGCAGCAAGAGAGATGAAACTTCTCTCCTTCTATAATGAATAAATGCAAATAGAACTTTGCAAATACTTTAAGGTTATGGTATAACAGTTTCCCTGGAGCTGTCTAACCACAGGAAGGCATTAGTGCCTCTGAGTATGATGTGTGTCAATTTGGGGAGCCTGTGGACTTAGTTCAGCGGGCAGGGAAATCCTCATTTGCTTATAAGCTCCAGGAGCCTATGCCTTTGTGTGGGCAGAGAGTACATTGTAGGAGTTACGTTGTGATTCTGACAGAGGCAGAAGGAGACTTTGAAAGGGGAGGAGAGAAAGATGAAGCCACTTAGTGCCCTACCCTTGTGCTCTTCAAGCCTCCTGCTAGGGGAAGAAGGAAAAGGTCCTGTGTTTCACAACTTCTCTCCCCGAACTCTGCCATTTTCTACTCAGGTCTTGGCCCCAGAAACTATCATTTGCAGATAGCAGAACTTAAAAGATGGCTCCCTAAGTCTTCAGAGGAATTTCTACTTGTGGAATATTAAGAGCTTGGCTAATCCATTAGGTTTCAAATAGATTAGATAAGTGAGAACTGGGCCTGGCATTAAAAGACTAACAGCCCAAGACCACTTTGATTATATATCAATATATAAAGAGACTGAACATAAGATCAGTTGAGTTTTTCCCTTTTGGTTAGGCAGTATTAAGTTTTCCAGTATTTGGGGGTTATATGTAGCTCTCTGTGTGAGTTAGTTGTCTTTTCTTTGTCCCTTGAATTAAGTCAGCACCACAGAAATGTGTACATGTGACTGAGGAGTGGGGCGAGTGGAGTGGCAGGTGAGAGGATGTAAATGGATCTGTTCAAATAGCTCTACTGGGAAATCAATGCAAAGCACATCGCCTGCTTCCTAAATGAAGGTCATCTTTATCAAACGTATAAAAACTGAAGTTCAAATCCATTTTGTTGAAAAAGATAGCAATATAAAAATATTGAAAATGAATAGCACTATTTACAATTTCAAAACCGAACATGAAAAAATCATGTTGTGCACTGTAAAATCCAGTAACTTTTAGAGCTAAAGATAAATCCTAGCAGAGAAGAGGAGTTAGTAGACTCTTGTATATACCTTATTTTTAAGGTGTACTGTCTGTTCGTATGATAAGGGATGTTTTCCTTGGTGGAAAGAGGAAGAGTGCGTATTTCTCTGCTAGACTTTTTCCATGAAGGTTTGTTTAAAAAAAATGAAAAATTTGCTGTTGCTCAGAGTATTCCTGTTTATTGGGGCATCATTAGTGAGGGAAGAGTATTGAGTTGGGAGGTCTAAAAGGCAGCAATTCAGATATGCAAGAACCTCTACAACTAAGGTCTTGGTCTGAGGCAGTATAGTGGTTTCTTAATTTTTTGGAGAATATTAAAAACTTAGGCTTTACAATAGTTGCTAATAGAAAAGCTACGACATTTATGACACTCCAATGTTTGACTGTCAGTTTTTAGAGAGTTGACAGGTAATATCCTTTTTCTTCTTCCTTTGTTTAGTGTTGGAAAATACAAGTGTAATAATCAGGGTGGGAGTGACAGGAATCTACTGTAACTGATTTTTTTTTCTTTGACAGAAACTGTACAAGGAAAACTATGAAAAGACAAAGGCAAAGAGCATAAATTACTGTGAGACCCCCAAATTTAAGCTTGATACAGTTCTGCAGAACTTCAGTAGTGATGTAAGCCACCCCGTGGTCATTTCCTCTGTTAAAGACCCATCACTTTGCCAATAAACAAATGAAATATGTTTTGTCTTTCAGACTAAATATAAAGATTCCTACTTAAAGAATATTTTGGGACATTATGTAGGCAGCTTTGAGGATCCATATCATACACACTGCATGAAAGTCTCAGCTCAGAACAGTGATGTAAGTTCTAAGGCAATTGTTTGACTTCCCAAATAACACATTTTTAGGGTATGAATACACTGGTTGCGTCCTTATGTCTGATTTCTTTTCCTCATAGAAAAACTACAAAGCAGAATATGAAGAGGACAGAGGCAAAGGCTTCTTCCCCCAGACCATAACTCAAGAATATGAAGCAATCAAGAAACTAGATAAGTGTAAAGATGTACGTCTGTAGTATAAACTGTGAATGTTACCACCCTCCACAGTATCTAGTGATCAAGATGTGTTTAATATTTTCACACTTTTGCAAACAAATGCAAGCAAGGAGCCTGTAAGAAACACAGTTTATTTTTCTCTGTTTTCACCCACATGTCTCAAGCGCTAATTCTAGCTCATTTTCCCAAAGAAAAGTAATCAGGAATCTGAAGATATGGGAAAGTTTCCTATATAGATGTAAGAGCATCTCTCAAAGAAACTGCAGTCTAATTAGAAAAAATGTGTTTTGCTTACTGAAAGTTTCTTTTCTTTTGGGGGATGGGGTTCTGCTCGCTTGGCCTATAGGCCAACTCGGATTTGACAAGTGATACTACTAAACGTGATTCTCTTTCCCCCACAGTACACCTACAAAGTCCATCCAGATAAGACAAAATTCACTCAGGTCACCGACTCTCCCGTTCTGGTGCAAGCCCAAGTCAATTCCAAACAGCTGAGTGATGTAAGTTCCCCTAAATATCCAAGAAATCCAGTTATGAGGGATAGCATATCATAACTCTATAGGTGAAATCCAGTGACTTGTCACATTTATAAAAAACGCTACATAACTTTTAACAAGTTTAACTTGTATATATTTGTAATCACCTAAAATACTTTCCTATTTAGTTACCTTACATCTTTTTGGGTGGATAACAATTATAGTAAAAGAGTTCTGCAAGGGAAACTAACGTAGCTTAATGCACTGGAAAGAACATGAGTTTTCGAGTCAGAGAGAACTGGATTCAAATTCCAGCTCTGTCATTTATGACCTGGGGCCTAGGAAAGTTGTTTAACCTCTCCATACCTCATAGTTCCCTTTGATAATTTGTGGTGGTTTTGAAGATTGTGAAAGAAGATAAGCGCATAGTACACATCCTGGCCCAGAGCGGGTATTCAGTACATGGGATTTCTCTGTCTCTCAAATAAGTTTTTAGGAAATAGAGTCTTTGAGATACATTTTATCATATAAATTTTCAGTGTGAATTTCCCAACTTGTGTTGAACTAAAAAAATGAAAAATAAAAGTAACCTCAGTAGATTATGGCCAGAAATGAAGGCTTCAGTTAGAGTATCCACAAACGATAATGCATGTGAGGGGACATAACCAGATTTGTTAGAAAAGATTTTCCAGTGATTGAGCGTTGACAGCAGAAAGGAAGAAAGGCTGTCACTCTCAGAACCTACAGGACCAATTGTGATATATAAAGAGGGGAGCTCCCACGTATGAAAGTGCCACCTCTTTCCATTAGGGCCCTACCATGGTGACAGATATGATAACAGCTGTCAACTATCCACCACACAGTGTCAGTAAGGCAGAGTGGCCCACCCTAGATCTGGATTTCTCTCTCTTTTTTTTTTTTTAACATCTTTATTGGGGTATAAAGCCAAACAGCTGAGTGATGTAAGTTCCCCTAAATATCCAAGAAATCCAGTTATGAGGGATAGCATATCATAACTCTATAGGTGAAATCCAGTGACTTGTCACATTTATAAAAAACGCTACATAACTTTTAACAAGTTTAACTTGTATATATTTGTAATCACCTAAAATACTTTCCTATTTAGTTACCTTACATCTTTTTGGGTGGATAACAATTATAGTAAAAGAGTTCTGCAAGGGAAACTAACGTAGCTTAATGCACTGGAAAGAACATGAGTTTTCGAGTCAGAGAGAACTGGATTCAAATTCCAGCTCTGTCATTTATGACCTGGGGCCTAGGAAAGTTGTTTAACCTCTCCATACCTCATAGTTCCCTTTGATAATTTGTGGTGGTTTTGAAGATTGTGAAAGAAGATAAGCGCATAGTACACATCCTGGCCCAGAGCGGGTATTCAGTACATGGGATTTCTCTGTCTCTCAAATAAGTTTTTAGGAAATAGAGTCTTTGAGATACATTTTATCATATAAATTTTCAGTGTGAATTTCCCAACTTGTGTTGAACTAAAAAAATGAAAAATAAAAGTAACCTCAGTAGATTATGGCCAGAAATGAAGGCTTCAGTTAGAGTATCCACAAACGATAATGCATGTGAGGGGACATAACCAGATTTGTTAGAAAAGATTTTCCAGTGATTGAGCGTTGACAGCAGAAAGGAAGAAAGGCTGTCACTCTCAGAACCTACAGGACCAATTGTGATATATAAAGAGGGGAGCTCCCACGTATGAAAGTGCCACCTCTTTCCATTAGGGCCCTACCATGGTGACAGATATGATAACAGCTGTCAACTATCCACCACACAGTGTCAGTAAGGCAGAGTGGCCCACCCTAGATCTGGATTTCTCTCTCTTTTTTTTTTTTTAACATCTTTATTGGGGTATAAAGGGCTTTACAATGGTGTGTTAGTTTCTGCTTTATAACAAAGTGAATCAGTTATACATATACATATGTTCCCATATCTCTTCCCTCTTGCGTCTCCCTCCCTCCCACACTCCCTATCCCACCCCTCCAGGTGGATTTCTCTTTTGATTGTAACAACTCTATCAGTTGTTATTTAACAAAATGTATTTTACATTTTATCTCATGAAATGTACCACACAAGATTTTTTTTTGTATTTTGGAACAATCTTCTTCTGAATTGAGAACTAAATGGCTCATTCTCTCTCTCTCTCTTGCTCTCAGCTAAATTACAAAGCAAAACATGAAAATGAAAAGTTCAAGTGCCATATACCTCCAGATACTCCTGCCTTTATCCAGCACAGAGTCAACGCCTATAACCTGAGTGATGTGAGTTCCTCGTGCACTATGCCATGTGTTATACTGACAACTATGCTTTTATTTTTGAATTGCCTCATTGAATAAATATTTCAATGTTAAAGATGGGAATAACAGTTAACATTTGTATTGTGTCCCTATGCCTCTGCCAGGGTAACTTTAAACTCACCTTATAAAATGTGTGTAGCAATCTTATAAGTAGCTTCATACAGTGAGACAATCTTAATATATTTTAACCAACCCTCAAAATACCACCATTCATGTATGTTTAATTGCAAATCTTAATGTAAGCTCTTTTAGCCATATATCCTTTTATACTATACTATAATTTTCTTTCAGGACCTCATATTTTAAGATACAGTTTCATTTTGTTTATTCCCCAGGCATATAAAGTCCCTTATTTCACACAAATGATACTTATTTCTACATGTAAGAGAACTTGCACTAACAAAGATATAGGGTATTCAAAAGGCATAAGGCCAGGTATCCATTGCTATCTTTCATTTCCAAACTTAATTTTATAGAAAAGTCAAATTACCCTTGAGGGTTTCAATTTCTTCAACAATTCTTTAAATAAGTACTAAAATTATCCAGCATCAATGAGTATTGCAATGATTCGTGAAATAACCTTTTCAGAGGACTTTGAGATCAAATGAAAATGGTGCCTTTATATAATACAAAGTAAGTTAACTATAGGATATTTGTGCCACTCTCAGTGTTAGGAATCAAATATTAGTATGATAACTAGAATGAAGTTAATATAATGCAATATTCTCATGGAGAGTAGAGAAGCTTAATCTTAGAGAATTGGAAGATTCATCTTGAGAATTATCTAAAATATGCACAATTTCTTAAAGAAAATGGTCTATTTATTTTATATTAAGACAAGGTATTGGGTTACCCTCTAGTCTTTAAAGTGTGGTAACATGCAGATTACTTTTGCCCATTCCTCTGCTGAAATTTTTCTGTCCAGAATGTTTATAAGTATGACTGGGAGAAGACCAAAGCTAAGAAATTTGACATTAAGGTGGATGCCATTCCCCTACTGGCAGCCAAAGCCAATACCAGGATCTCTAGCGATGTGAGTATGGCCTGGGCACCTGGACAGGGGGGGCCTCAGCGATCTTCCTAATGAGTGAGATCTGGCACGTGTGATGTCTTTGCAGGTGATGTACAAGAAAGACTATGAGAAAAGCAAAGGAAAGATGATTGGAGCCCTCAGCATTAACGATGATCCCAAGATGCTGCACTCTTTGAAGACGGCCAAAAACCAGAGTGATGTGAGTGCTTTGGTGAATCTGCCTTGTTTTCAAGATTGTGTCCCAGTCAACATGCCCAAGGGTAATGATGTAAAAAGATTCCATATCCATGGGCTCTCTCAGGTTCACAGCAATGAACTGCTGAGAATTTTAGAAGTACAATGATCCCCCAGACTCTTGCACCTCTCATGTTTGAGGAGAGAAATTAATGATTTGTACTTGATCTTCATTTCACTTTGAAAAAACCTGTATTCATATTTAGTAGAATATTGCTTGTAATTCTCAACACCTTTTGGAAAACATTAAGATGTTTTCATATTTTCTAATTGAAAAGTAACCTAAAATTGTGGTTTAAAAAGTGACTTTATTTTGGAAGAAAATCATGAGTCAGAGATAAAAATCTTAGTATAGCTAACATTGCTCTTTACTGACTTTAGTAACTAGTATTGGCCTAGGTCTAGGATTCCATTAATTATAGGCCCCGTTGAGAATCTGATAAAAGATCTGGTCCATCTCTTTAGGGAAATGGAGTTTTTTTTCACATCTTTTGCCTGACTTTCATAGAGAATTCATGGATTCCCTAAGGATTGCCTTTAGGATATCTATCATCTTCCAGTTAAAATTCTTACCATAGAGAGGCAAACATATACTGTTGAAAATTGCAATATACACTGTGTTTTAAAATGTTTGGAGAATCCCTTAAAAGTGGTAAGAATGTTCAACATAGCTTGCAAATATTAGCTTTTCATGACAAAAGAGAAGGGTGTTTGTATCATTTACTTTCATTTTAACCATGTGTTCATATTGTGAGCTATGAAACCTTCTTCAAATCATTTCACATTTACTATATAGTCATATAGCACTTTAAACGTCTTATTCAGTCATTTTCTCTAGTAAATTCACACTGAATTAGATACAGTGTGATTATATACAGTCAGTATACAGTGCTCACATACATAATACTATCTTCTTCACCAGTTCCTTATTTTGTCTCTCAACTCAAGAAAGTTATAGCTCCCATTGACAGCACGTGTATGGTTATCTTTGGTTTTTACCCTACCACAGAACCCATTAGCACACTAAGTTATTAAGTGCATAGTAAGTGTTCAATAAGTACTTGTTAATTGATTCATGTTGGCAACCAAAAGAGATAGTCAATGATGAGTCATTCTCAAATAATATTCAGGCTAAAATCTAAGCTGCAGGTACAGAGCACACATCGCTTTTAAAAAGAGTCTTTTAAAGCCGTTTGGGACTAAACAACATGCCACTAAATAAACAGTGAGTCAGGCTTCCCTGGTGGCTCAGTGGGTGAGGGTCCGCCTGCCGATGCAGGGGACACGGGTTCGTGCCCTGGTCCGGGAGGATCCCACATGCCATGGAGTGGCTAGGCCCATGAGCCATGGCTGCTGAGCCTGCGTGTCCGGAGCCTATGCTCCGCAATGGGAGAGGCCACAACAGTGAGAAGCCCACATAGCGCAAAAAAAAACAGTGAGTCAATGAAGGAATCAAAGAGGAAATCAGAAAATACCTCAAGACAAATGAAAATGGAAACAACACTCCAAAATCTATGGAATACAGCAAAAGAAGTTTGAAGAAGGAAGTTTATAGCGATATAGGCCTTCCTCAAGAACAAGACAAATCTCAAAAAAATAACCCAATCTGCCACCTAAAGGAATTGGAAAACGAACAAACAAAACCCAGAGTCAGCAGAAGGAAGAAAATAATAAAGAGAGGAAATAAATAAAATGCAAATTTAATAAAACAATAGAAAAGATCAATGAAACCAAGAGCTGTTATTTTGAAAAGAGAAAAAAACTGATAAAGCCAAGATCACCAAGAAGAAAAGAGAGGACCCAAATAAATAAAATAAGAAATGAAAGGGACAAATAGCAACCAGTATCACAGAGATACAAAAATTATAATACTATGAACAGTTATAAGCCAACAAATTGGACAACCTAGAAGAAATAGACAAACTTCTAGAAACATACAACTTGCCAAAACTGAATCAAGAAGAAACAGATATTTGAACAGACCAATTGCTAGTGAAATTGAATTTGCATTAAAAAAAAAAAATGCAAGCAAACAAAAGTCTAGGACCAGACGGCTTCACAGGTGAATTCTACCAAACATATAAAAAAGAACTAATACCTATCTTTCTCAGACTATTCCAAAAAATTGAAGAAGATGGAACACCCCCAAATTCATTCTGTGAGGCCACAATTACCCTAATATCAAAACCAGAAGATACTAGAAAAAAATTACAGACCAATATCTTTAAGTACAGATGCAAAACTCCTCAACAAAATATTAGCAAACTGAATCCAAGAGTATATAAAAAGGATCATATACCATAATTGAGTTGGATTTATTCCAGGGAGGCAGGATGGTTCAATATTTGCAAATCAATCAATGTGATTCACCACATTAACAAAAGGAAGGATAAAGATCACATGATCATCTCAACAGATGTAGAAAAAGCGTTTGACAAAATTCAATATCCATTCATGATAAAAACTCATCAAAGTGGGTATAGAGGGAACATATCTCAACAAATAAAAGCCATTTATGACAAACCCACGGCTAACATCATACTCAGAAGGGCCAGTTTCTTTGCATTTTTCTTCCAGAATCTGGGGTGGGGACGCCTCTTTCCACGTCTATTTAACATAGTATTGGGAGTCCTGGCCACAGCAATCAGAAAAAATAAATTAATTAAAAAAATAATAAGCATCCATATTGGAAGGGAAGAAGTAAAATTGTCACTATTTGTAGATGACATGGTACTTTATATAGAAAACCCTAAAGTCTGCACCCAAAAACAATCAGAACTAATAAAAGAATTTAGTAAAGTTTAAGGATACAAGATTAATATACAGAAATCTGTTGCTTTTCTATACACTAATAATGAACTATCAGAAAGTTAGAAAAAAAAAGCCACATTTAAAATTGCATCAAAAAGAATAGGAATAAATTTTTTTTAATTCAAACAGAAAGTCACAAAAATTATAATCATCCTCATCATTTCACTCAGTCCCATGTGATTAATTGTTTTTTCATCTTTTGTTAGCACTTTTATGAATGTATCAGTTTTCCATTAGAGTTCTGAAAATGCTTATTCATTCAGTTCAGCAGTGTAGTCAGTTACCAGAAACCTGTACTTGTCAGAGTCTTTTCCATGAATTCCTTGAAGATGAAATCCTTTTATAGGAACATTTTTGCAAAAGCATCAGTACACCCAGAACTGTCTGTAAATGATAAAAGACTTAAAAATGACCACACTTAAACATTTGATGAAAGTTCATAGTAATGGCAATTGACAAGGAAATTTAGTTATTTCTGAGATATACATTTTAAAGTAATAACTAGAATTATGACTTATAACATTATACCAGAACATATAAGATTTTTAGAAGTTTCATGTAATGTCTGAAACATTTATATTAGCATATTTCCATACCAATAACCCAAAGAAAGTTTAGTGTTAGTTGTTTTTTGTTTGTTTGTTTATACTGCACGTTCTTATTAGTCATCAATTTTATACACATCGGTGTATACATGTCAATCCCAGTCACCCAATTCAGCACACCACCATCCCCACCCCACCATGGTTTTCCCCCCTTGGTGTCCATACATTTGTTCTCTACATCTGTGTCTCAACTTTTGCCCTGCAAACCAGTTCATCTGTACCATTGTTCTAGGTCCCACATACATGCATTAATATACGATATTTGTTTTTCTCTTTCTGACTTACTTCACTCTGTATGATAGTCTCTAGATCCATCCGCATCTCAACAAATGACTCAATTTTGTTCCTTTTTATGGCTGAGTAATAGTCCATTGTATATATATGTACCACATCTTCTTTATCCATTCGTTTGTCGATGGGCATTTAGTTTGCTTCCATGACCTGGCTATTGTAAATAGTGCTGCAATGAACATTGGGGTGTACGTGTCTTTTTGAATTATGGTTTTCTCTGGGTATATGCCCAGTAGTGGGATTGATGGATCATATGGTAATTCTATTTTTAGTTTTTAAGGAACCTCCATACTGTTCTCCATAGTGCTTGTATCAATTTACATTCCCACCAGCAGTGCAAGAGGGTTCCCTTTTCTCCACACCTTCTCCAGCATTTGTTGTTTCTACATTTTCTGATGATGCCCATTCTAACTGGTGGGACGTGATACCTCATTGTAGTTTTGATTTGCATTTCTCTAATAATTAGTGATGTTGAGCAGCTTTTCATGTGCTTCTTGGCCATCTGTATGTCTTCTTTGGAGAAATGTCTATTTAGGTCTTCTGCCCATTTTTGGATTGGGTTGTTTGTTTCTTTAATATTGAGCTGCATGAGTTGTTTATATATTTTGGAGATTAATCCTTTGTCTGTTGATTCATTTGCAAATATTTTCTCCCATTCTGACGGTTGTCTTTTCGTCTTGTTTATGGTTTCCTTTGCTGTGCAAAAGCTTTGAAGTTTCATTAGGTCCCATTTGTTTATTTTTGTTTTTATTTCCATTACTCTAGGAGGTGGATCAAAAAAGATCTTGCTGTGATTTATGTCAAAGAGTGTTCTTCCTATGTTTTCTTCTAAGAGTTTTATAGTGTCCGGTCTTACATTTAGGTCTCAAATCCATTTTGAGTTTATTTTTGTGTATGGTGTTAGGGAGTGTTCTAATTTCATTCTTTTACATGTAGCTGTCCAGTATTCCCAGCACCACTTATTGAAGAGGCTGTCTTTTCTCCATTGTATATCCTTGCCTCCTTTGTCACAGATTAGTTGACCATAGGTGCGTGGGTTTATCTCTAGGCTTTCTATCTTGTTCCATTGATCTATGTTTCTGTTTTTGTGCCAGTACCATATTGTCTTGATTACTGTAGCTTTGTAGTATAGTCTGAAGTCAGGGAGTCTGATTCCTCCAGCTCCATTTTTCCCCCTCAAGACAGCTTTGGCTATTCGGGGTCTTTTGTGTCTCCATACAAATTTTAAGATGATCTGTTCTAGCTCCGTAAAGAATGCCATAGGTAATTTGATAGGGATTGCATTGAATCTGTAGATTGTTTTGGGTAGTATAGTCATTTTCACAATATTCGTTCTTCCAATCCAAGAACATGGTATATCTCTCCATCTGTTGGTATCATCTTTAATTTCTTTCATCAGTGTCTTATAGTTTTCTGCATACAGGCCTTTTGTCTCCCTAGGTCGGTTTATTCCTAGGTATTTTATTCTTTTTGTTGCAGTGGTAAATGGGAGTGTAAAATAGGAATAAATTTAACAAAGGAGGTAAAATACCAGTACTCTGAAAACTATAAGATATTGATGAAGAAAACTGAAGGTGATACAAAACAATGGAAAGATATCCCATTCTCATGGATTAGAAAAATTAATGTTGTTAAAATGCCCATACAACCCAAAGAAATCTACAGATGTTATGCAATCCATATCAAAATACCCATAACATTTTTCACAGAACTAGAACAAATAATTCTAAAACTTATATGGAACCACAGTAGATCCTGAATGGCCAAACCAATCTTGAGAAGAAAGAACAAAGCTGGAGGTATTATGCTTCCAAACTTCAGACTGTATTACAAAGCTACAGAAATCAAAACAGCATGGTCCTGTACAAAATCAGACACAGATCAGTGGAACAGAATAGAGAGCCCAGAAATAAACTCACGCACCTATGGTCAATTAAACTATGACATAGGAGGCAAGAATATACAATGGAGAAAAGACAGTGTCTTCAATAAGTGGTGCTGGGAAAACTGGACAGCTACATGTAAAAGAATGAGATTAGAACTCCATATACAAAAATAAACTCAAAATCAATTAAAGACCTGAAACCATAAAACTCCTAGAAGGGAACATAGGCAGAACACTCCTTGACGTAAATCTTAGCAATATTTTTTGGGATCTGTCTCATAAGGCAAAAGAAATTAAAACAAACAGAAAAAACGGAACCTAATTAAACTTAAAGTCTTTTGCATAACAAAGGAAACTGTCAACAAAATGAAGAGACAGTCTATGAAATAGAACATATTTGCAAATGATATGGCCAAGAAGGGGTTAACATCCAGACTATATAAATGGCTCGTGCAGCTCAGTATCAAGAAAGCAAACAATCAAAAAAAAAAAAAAAAAAGAAAATGGGAAGAAAACTTGAATAGACATTTTTCCAAAGAAGGCATACAGGTGGCTGACAGTCTCATGAAAAGATGCTCAGCATTGCTAATTATTAGAGAAATACAAATCAAAACAGCAATGAGATATCACCTCATACCTGTCAGAATGGCTATCATCCAAAAGTCTACCAATAGCAAATGTTGGCAAGGATGTAGAGAAAAGGGAACCCTCCTACACTGTTGGTGGGTGTGTAAATTGGTGTAGCCACTATGGAGGACAGTATGGAGGTTCCTTAAAAAACTAAAAATAAAGCTACCATATGATCCAGCAGTTCCACTCCTGGGCATATATCCAGAAAAGACGAAAACACTAGTTCAAAAAGATACATGTACCCCAGTATTCATGGCAGCATTATTTACAATAGCCAAGATATGGAAGCAACCTAAGCATCCACCAACAGATAAATGGGTAAAGAATATGTGGTATATATATACAATCGAGTATCACTCAGCCATAAAGGAGTGAAATTCTGCCATTTGCAGCAGTGTGGATGTACCTAGAGAATATTGTGCTTGTAAAATAAGTCAGACGGAGAGAGACAAGTACTGTATGATATGTGGAATCTAAAAAAATAAAACAAATGAACGTATATAACAAAACAGAGACAGACACAGATATAGAAACAAACTTGAATTGATAGTTACCGGTAGGGAGAGGGAAGGAGAGAGAGGCAAGATAGGGGTATGGGATTAAGAGACACAAACTGTTATGCATAAAATAGATAAGCAATTAGGTTATACTGTACAGCACAGGGAATTATAGCCATTATCTTGTAATAACTCTTTTTTTGTTTTTTTCGGTATGCGGGCCTCTCACTGTTGTGGCCTCTCCCGTTACGGAGCACAGGCTCCGGACGCGCAGGCTCAGCGGCCATGGCTCACGGGCCCAGCCGCTCCGCAGCACGTGGGATCTTCCCAGACTGGGGCACGAACCCGTGTCCCCTGAATTGGCAGGTGGACTCTCAACCACTGCGCCACCAGGGAAGCCCTGTAATAACTTTTAATGGAGCATAATCTGTAAAAATACTGAATTACTATGCTGTCTACCTGAAACTAATATTGTAAATCAACTATACTTCAATAAAAAAATAAATCAGTAGGGAATTCCCTGGTGGTCCAGTGGTTAAGACTCTGCGCTTCCACTGCAGGGGGCCACAGGTTCCATCTCTGGCTGGGGAACTGGGATCCCACAGGCCACACGGTGGGACCAAATAAATAAATAGATAAAAATAAAAATAAAGCCATTTGGAGCTTTGACAACCTTTTATATGTGCAGCATGTGTGAGCTTATCTGAACTTGAACAAAAGGGTCAAAACAATTTAGTCAAAAACACTTCCACACACCAACTGCTGTTGCAACATTGCTTTATCCGTTTATTTCTAATAAAGACAAACTGTCTTTATTTTTTTCAGTGTTCTTGCATGCCATCAGAAAGTTTCCATATTTTAATTTCATAAACCAGGGCCTAGATCTTACAATTAAGAGAGGAATTTATTCTGTGAAACTGACTACCCACGATGTTTTAGACGGAAGACTATATTCCCTAAGAAAGTTAAAAGATTGGATTATTTGTAAAAGGAATTTCTGCAGGAGATTTATAATGCACATCTATACTTGCTAGCTTGGATCGCTGTCTTTAGAGCTTATGTGATTATAGGGAGATATAATAGGCTTAGAATCTTCCTAAAGGAAAAATTCTGGGTCAGAATTTTTCTCTCATTTAAGGTAATTGGTGAGCAGACGTGATGAAGCTGAGACTTTGACCTAATTAACACCCTGTCTAACCATTCCAGAAAACCAACCAATGAAAGTGCCTTCTGAGGCCAGTCAGGACATTTGGTTTATGAGAACACTGTACCTAAGGGCCAAGGTTACTTCAGTGGCTCAATTTCATAAATTTTTCTCCTTTGAGGTCTTATAACTGCTGAAATCTGAAACTTCTTTTAAATTGTTACCAAAATTAGACTTAGTATGGAAAAACCTCTGGGGTTCTCAGTGGGGCTTATCTATTGTCCAGAGTAGAATAGTCAGGTTGAAAATCAGTAACTATTCACTTAAAGATGACTTTAGAAAAGTCAAGAAGTGTACAGCTCTGTTTATGAAGTAGTCATTTTATAAAATCAGAAGTATGAAATGATTGTCAAATGATTTTTGACAATTTAAAAGATACTTATTTAATGGAATACTCTTCCAAGGTTAGATTACCTTAGCAGAAATTATGCTTGCTAGTGGTCCTTGAAAAACCCTGTTTTAAAATAAAATAATAGCTGGCTGAATCAGAAGCTGTGGCCCATTCCTACTGTCTGACAGTTCCTCTTTGATCTAAACAAAGATTTGAGAAGATCTGTCCATGCATCTGCCCATGATTTTGGGAGGGGCGGTTTCAATGATGTGAAACATATGATCAAATTTTAGGAAAAAATAACTAACTAGAAGGAAAAAAATCTCTATCTTGTATTTGTTGTTTATGAGAGATCTCTGTGCTTTTCTGGAAATCCATTGAAGATTTGTGCTAATAAATGGTAATTTCCTATTCACAGCATGAATATCGTAAAAACTATGAAAAGTCAAAAACTATCTACACAGCACCTCTTGATATGCTCCAAGTGACTCAAGCTAAGAAATCTCAGGCAATTGCCAGTGATGTCGACTATAAGCACCTCTTACACAATTACAGCTACCCGCCGGACAGCATTAACATGGACCTTCCCAAGAAGGCTTATGCACTGCAGAGTGATGTGAGTAACCAGATTTTCTCTATTCCCTCTTTTTAAGGTAGAAACTGAAAAGGATTTCTAAGTTGAGTGATTTTTTGGCAATTCTCAGAAGTATCTGCATTGTCTTCTGTATGTAGCAAGTATGTAATGGGAAAATGATCCTTGGGATTCTATGAGAGCACACCCCTCAGAGTTAGGGAGGCCTGGTTCTGGCAAAAGCACGCCATCACAGTTTCCTTTTGGGAAAGTGATCAACCTTGCTGAGTTTAGAGTCCTCCTGCAAAACTGGAATAATACAAAAGAATTGCTTTCATTATTTAAATGCATTCAAAATACTCTTAGCATGGTGCTGGGCCCTGGTGAATTCTCAGTAAACATTCACTATTATCATCATCACCATTATCATAATTATCACATTCATCATTATCAATAATTTTTTGTATAGATTGCTGTCTTGTCTGAAAATAAAATATATTATTTATAGCATTACTTTTTATAATAGCTGGATTTTTTTCCTGCAGATCAAAACTTCTTTAGGCAAATTAATTTGTCTGAGCTATACAATTGAATACTTTATCCTAACAATTCTATTTTTTTAAATGGTAAAATAGACATAACATAATGTTTGCCATCTTTACCAGTTTTGATTGTACAGTTCAGCAGCAGTTACATTCCCATTGTTGTGCAACCAATCTCCAGAACGTTTTCGTCTTGCAAAAATGCAACTCTCTGCACATTAAACAACTCCCCATTTCCTCTTCCCCTCAGCCCCTGTCAACCACCCTTCTACATTCTGTCTCTGTGAGTTGGACTACTCTAAAGACCTCGTATCAATGGAATTATGCAGTGCTTGTCCTTTTGTGACTGGTTTATTTCACTTAGCATAATGTCCTCAAGGTTCATCCATGTTATAGTATGTGTCAGAATTTCCTTCCTTTTTGAGGCTGAATTCTATTCCATTCTATGTGTATACATTTGGGTTATCCATTCATCTGTCAGTGAACATTTGGGTTGCTTCTGGCTACTGTGACTAATGCCACAATGAACATGGATATATGAATATCTTCAAGATCCTGCTTTCAGTTCTTTCGAGTATATACCCAGAAGTAGAATTTCTGGATGACTTGGTAGTTCTATTTTTAATTTTTTGAGGAATCGCTGTACTTTTTCCCATAGCAGCTGCACAATTTTACATTCTTATCACTAAAAATTCTATTTTATGCATTATTATCTTATTTGTTTCATTTTGTTATGTTTCTTCCTCCCTAATAGATCATAGGTTTTTCAAAGGCAGGAACCAATGGTTTCTTGATTTTTTGTTCCAGTTAGAAGGCCCACACTAAAGAACAACCATCTGAATTTTATATCTAGAGTACATGTTTTATGTATCACCTATAGCCAGACAACAGGAGTAGGTCATTATTTTAATAGCCTCAAGTAACTGTCTCCCAGATAGGTCCAATTCCAACTGATAACTGCTCTCCATAAGCAAATTATTGAATACAACTATATTAAAGTGTGTTGTTAGCCAATATAGGAACACTCCTAAGCTTACAATTACACATGAAGGGCAATATGTGTAAACACTTAATACAAATAACTACTATCAAGTCTTATCAGAAAATGAGGAAAATTATCCACCTTCAATATGGCCTTCAGTTATAATCTGACCATAGAAACATAATACATAATATGTTCTAGTGAGCAAACATCTCACGTTTGATGATCTAAATATAACAATTTCATTTATTCTTTGAAATACAGCTTTGAATTTAGCAGATTGGAATTATAATTCCACATACTTTGGAACTAAGGATGAAGTAGAACATATACCAACTAGAAAGAACACTGAAAACCTAAGGGCTGTTAAAATCTCTCCCCAAGGAAATGTTTAAAATAACCTCAACGTATGGAATAAGGAAACTGGCCAGAAATCTTAAAAGCATTCTTTTGGGGAAAATGTTAATGATTTTACGAAGAAGGATGATGTTGAGAAAAGAAATGTAACCTTTCTCTTGGTGTTTTAGGTCCAATACAAAGCTGACTACAATAGCTGGATGAAAGGTTGCGGCTGGGTACCTTTTGGGTCCTTAGAAATAGAAAAGGCAAAGCGAGCTTCAGACATTCTGAATGAGGTAAAGCCATCATATCTCTGTGTGTCACAGAGATAGATTTGTGAATGTGACATGGTAAAACTTCCCAAACCATGGGTAATGCCTCCTTTACCACTTCATTTTCTAGTATTGCTGCTGAGGAAAAAAACCCCAACCTATCATGTGCATGAGTTATCTCGGTAGATAATCATACCTCTTCACATCACCAAAGTCGTTTACGTTAACCATTCATGACAGAAATATTTTTAACAGCTTTATCGAGGTATAGTTTGCATACTACAAAAATTCACATGTGTTAAGTGTACCCCTTGACAAGTTTTAATAAATCCGTAGAGTTGCATAGCCATCCCCACAATTGAATTTTTTTTAACTGGTAAATGCATCTTTATTTTTCAGAAGCAAGATAGAAAATGAGTAGTATATTATGAAATACACAATATAGGAGTGAAATCAGCATGGTCAAGGGAGGTTGGACTGCAAGCTCTGTTAGGTCATTGGTTGCAGTTGGTATCAAGAGGTTAGGTCAAGGTTGCTTCAACTTTGGCCTTGGGTTTCATGAGATCCCCCTACTAGTTAGGAATGGTTTTAGCAGCAAGAAAAAGAATACTTGAAGTTATGGAGGCTACTCAAATACTTTGCCTTCAAAATAGTCAGGAGGGGGTTGGCTGCTGGCGTAGATTCAGGGGCTCAGTGATATCAGGCACACAACTGAATTTTTTTTTTTTTTTTCGGTACGCGGGCCTCTCACTGTTGTGGGCTCTCCTGTTGCGGAGCACAGGCTCCAGGCGCGCAGGGTCAGCGGCCATGGCTCACGGGCCTGGCCATGGCTCACGGGCCCAGCCGCTCTGCGGCATGTGGGATCTCCCCAGACCGGGGCACGCACCCGTGTCGCCTGCATTGGCAGGCGGACTCTCAACCACTGCGCCACCAGGGAAGCCCCACAATTGAATTTTAAGATGCTAGCACCCCAAAAAATTCCCACTCCCATTTTCAACCCCAGACAACCACCAATCTGCTTTCTGCCTTTTCTAGAAATTTCTTTTGTATCAGGATTCCTTCACTTAGCATAATGTTTTTGAGGTTTGTCCATATCTCTACATGTGTCTGTAATATTTTCCTTTTTATTAGTGAGAGTAGTATTCCTTTGCACGGGTATATCACGCTTTGATTGTCCAGTTAGTGGGCATGTGGATTTTTCCAATATTTGGCAATTGTGAATTATGCATATAATGACTATTATAGAAATTTTCTTTGAAGTATTATTATACCTTATGCTATATTCTTGATGACTCTGAAGTAGTATATATGTTGTTATTCAGTCTAAGAAGAAACAAAGATGATCTTGGGGCTCTTAAAGCAGTCCCTTCTCTGACAGCAGTTGAACATTCCCCCTGCTGTCAGGTGAATCCGTCATCCAGGAAGTTAGACCACATAAAGAAGGGTCAGAGGTGCTAAGTGAGGGTTGTCTTCCACACCCAAGTTTTTGTTGTTCTTGTTGTTTTGTACGTCTGTTTGTTTTTGGTGAAAACCACTTTATCTACTCAAGAGATCCTTCAGAAAAAATTCTGGGTTAGTGGTTTTCAGAAGTCCGAAGTTGAAAGAGGGATGCTACTATATACACAAAAGTGGGATGTATAGTATGAAAAAATGAAGAGAACTAGGGGAAGAATATAGGAATAAGGGTAGCTAGATGTTGCCAGCTCCCAATTGAGACATCTTCCCTGTGGCCCTTCTCCTGTGTCTCCTCAGCACTTTAGTGATAACTTATGTACTAACCACATTAAGGCTTGCAAAGCAAAAGTCCTCCTTTTCTTATTAATAATCCATAGCTATTGCCCTAGTTCCTCAATTCCTCCTCCCTCAACTGGAAAACTTCAGTTGCTGATGGAGTGACAAGGAAAATGACATTCCTGGGAGCTTGTTTAGTGTCATGCAAAGATACTCCAAAGACACTCCATACTCCTTGCATGCTTTTCTGTTAATCCTTTAGAAAACTTTGTGATGTTTCAGGATTCTGCTGAGCTTTCACAGTGCCTTCTTTCACATCATAAGCAAGAAATTAAGAGAATAAAGTCATTCCTGAAAGTTGTACTGGTCTGCACTGCCCCAAACAATCCAAAATTAAAACAGTTTCTTTAAATGTTGGTTTTTGTATTGTATTCACTTTTTCCCCCAAGCCAGCAAAGAATCAAATATTTTTACATTTTAAAATCAGGAAAATTTCTTGTCCCTCCAACATAAATTTAAAGTATTTTGATTTATTAGCCTTTGGTGAAAGTATTATTATCTTTCTCTTTTTAATTTGTCAAACAGAAAAAATATCGCCAACATCCAGATACTCTCAAGTTTACTTCGATTGAAGATGCTCCAATTATAGTACAGTCTAAGATTAACCAGGCCCAGAGGAGTGATGTAAGTGTTAATTCTCTCTGTATTTAAAAGTTAACTAATACAAATACATTTGTATTCTAAATGTAATGATCACCTGTACTTATTAGGCAATCTAAAGAGACTCAGTTATATGAGCAACTGTATAATTCCCCAGGTTTTCATTAAAAAAGCACACCTAATTCATATCTTTAGAGGATTATATATATTTCAGTGATTGGACATTGCTCTCGAAGGGAAAGGTAAGAGGGGCTTCTCTTGATAACCAGAAACACAAGCCTATTTCTAGGAAAGATCAGGAAAGTGATTATAGGCACTACATCATATGAAAGGGTTATATTTAAAGTCAGAGGTAAGACAAAAATCATGCTTAGTAAAAACTACCCCTAAGTCCCTTTAGTCACCCACTGCCCACAAAATATAATATAGATAGTTGGTAAATCCCACCCTATTAACTTTTCCTATGCTCAGGAAAGTGTCTACAGGTTAACTTTGTCTTTGGGTCACTTTCCTGGGCTCTTAGGTAGGTCCCCCTACCTTAGTCTGGAGGTTCTTAGCACATACCAAGGGACTTTTGCCAAGGCTAACAGGTACTAAGATCAGACCCTGTGCAATTGCATAGGAGATCTTAAATGCCTACAAATATTTTCCGGGGAGTGTGGGGAAGGCACCGAGAGCGTCTTTCGTTAAAAAAACTCCTCTGTGCAACGTGATCGGCTCCAAAATTATTCTCTTGTGCCGTTAAACACTTTCCCCTACTTTGTTTATGCATTTTTTTCTCTTCCAGATTGCCTACAAAGTCAAAGGGGAGGAAATTATTCACAAGTACAGTCTGCCGGCGGACGTGCCCCAGTTCATTCAGGCTAAAGTCAACGCCTACAATATCAGTGAGGTGTGCATGTGGGCTCAGCCGCTCACTGAGGGTTAAGCCTTTTCTACATGTGGTCTGAGTTATCTTCAAATGACATTTTTCTTTCAGAATATGTACAAAGCAGACTTGAAAGACCTGAGCAAGAAGGGATACGACCTGAGAAACGATGCGATCCCCATCAAAGCTGCCAAAGTTGCCAGGCAGGCGGCGAGTGACGTAAGTCCAGCTGGTGGTCACCTGTGTGTAACCAGAGAATGGGGGCAGGTGGGCTTCTTATCCCAGTCTCCACGTCTGCTGTCCCTGACTGGAAGTAAGCCAGGCTGAAACTATTTAGAGTAGAAAGTTCCCTAAACAGATCTGAATTTTCTTGGGGGTAAGGATTTGTATAACCTTAACCAATCTGTTCTAATCAAGCCCCCTAATTTAAAATTCTCATTTATATTTCTGCACAAATTCACGTTATTTCTCTTATAGAAATAAAGAAGTTACCTGCTATTTACATCATAATAACCTCCTGATGGTAAACCTTTATCTCAAAACTTGCTTAATTTCTATGAATTCCCTCTTTGCCTTACCTCTCTTTTCACTTCATTGCGTCTACAGACTGATGAATGGGCTTCAAGTGTCAGAGCCCCTAAGAGTCAGTCATTAGGTTGCATTAAAGTGAAGACTTTTGTTTCTTTTCCTATCTTACTTCAACTCAGATGTGAGCTGAAGTCACTTTGCTCTTTGAGATTTAAATAAAATGGACTCAAGCCCCCTCCTGCTGTCCTGCAGGAAGTGGGATTCCCTCCCCATGACTGCTGCATTCTCTGAGGTTTTTGCTTTTGTGATCACCTCTGGCTCCTGGTTTGCACATGATGGTTTTGCTCTGGCTCACTTGGGCTCTCCTCCCCTAGATTTATTCTCTTTCTGCTCTGCATGATCCAGAGATGGAACTCAGCCCCTTCTTTTTGGTTTCCCTCCAAGTCCCAAGTGCAACTTTAATGATTGTTTGAAATGGAGCTGTCACTGCAGCAATGTAAATACATTAAGACTGAATAATGAATGTCCATGTCCTAAAAGCCCTGCTCCAGAATTTCTCACTGATCCCCTCTCTCTGTGGGTGATCTCCTTCAGCCACCCCACCCCAGCATACACATAAACCTTCCCTCACATCTCTGCTACTCCATTTCCTGGGGTTCTTCCCAAGTCTCCTCAAGGACGCTTAATTCTCCCCACTTTACTATTCGGAACCAGTTAGTGTTACGCACTACTGGTTCTGGGTCTCCCTTTGAATATCCAAAGATTCATGAAAATTGTACTATTACTACTACTAGTATAATTCTATTAATAAAATAGCCAGCTATTTGGCTTTAGGAGCACAGTATAATTGGTAGAGTTTGTGAAATATTTATCTTTTCATTTGTCTCTATCACTAAGTGGAACAGGACTTATTTTACTTTGTCACTGATATAACTTATAGTAACATCCCCACCCCAGCCTCCCTTGGGTGGCAGAAGCAACCACAGACAACCAAATGGGCTCTAAATAACATTTTAATTTTAACAGGCTACATTTCAAATATATACAAGCAAATATCAAATTGTTTGGTTATTGAAATAATTTCTGGGAAGCTCAGTTGCTCAAATCATGGTCTCATTGTTCAGTAAAACCTTCATAACTACATTAAAAAATATGCCCACCTTTGTTTCCAACAGGTTCACTACAAAAAAGATTATGAAAAAGCCAAAGGGAAAATGGTTGGCTTCCGAAGTCTCCAAGATGATCCTAAACTGGTTCATTATATGAATGTGGCCAAGATACAATCGGACCGGGAGTATAAAAAAGGCTATGAGAAGACAAAGACCAAATACAACACACCCCATGATATGTTCAACGTTGTGGCAGCTAAGAAAGCTCAGGATGTTGCCAGCAATGTCAACTATAAGCATTTGCTTCATCACTACACCTACCTGCCTGATGCCATGGACCTGGAATTGTCGAAAAACATGATGCACATACAGAGCGATGTAAGTGACATTTACTCCATAAGACAGTCCGCCTCTAAGGAGGGAGCCTGCGTGAGAGAACCCACTGCCCAGGGCACTCACTTCTCTCTTCTCTCTTTGGTGTAGAATGTCTATAAGGAAGACTACAACACCTGGATGAAAGGCATAGGCTGGATACCTATTGGCAGTCTGGAGGTAGAAAATGTTAAAAAGGCGGGTAATGCCCTGAAAGAAAAGAAGTACAGGCAACATCCAGACACCCTCAAATTTACCAGCATCGTGGACTCACCAGTTATGGTCCAGGCAAAACAGAACACAAAGCAAGTCAGTGATGTGAGTACAACAAAACAGAGGGTGCAAAAGGATGGAGGGAGGCTTCAAAAGATGAGCTCATCATTTTTATTCTCTGAGCCTAATATCTTTTCCTTTTAAAATTATTATTTTATTTCATTTAAAAATAATAATTACAATTATTTTTAGTTTGGGCACTAACATTTTCTTTTTTTTATATATCTTGCTTTTTACCTTCCTTTTAAAAATGTCTTCCTTTTTAACTGCCTATAAATACTGTGTTATTGGATAAAGTATTTGAGAAAGTGCAAAAAGTTCTACCCTAGAATGACACACACACAAACAAAACTTAAATCCCATACACCTTATTGTGGCAAATGCATCATAGTCAATTCTATATTAAGTTGCTCATATTTGCTTTTCATATATAAAATATTAGTACAGGGAAATAATACACATGAGTAGATGATTTCTCTCCTCAGAATTCATCATACACAATTATTATAGATACTTTTCTTTACTTATGTCTTGGAGGAGATTAGTATGTTGTTTGCCTGCCTGTCCATGAGGAATGTATACGCTCCGGCTAAAGACAGCTCTCAAGGAAAATTTGGTGTATGAAAGAGCTAAAGGGACATCAAAAACATTCATTTATTAATTCATTGAATGAATGTTTTTGAACACCCTCCATGTGCCAGGCACTATATTATGTGCTGATGGTATAAAGATGAAACAGATGAGGACGAATGGGATACAGGACAAGAGTATAAGGCAAAGGCATGGATAGAAACAGCATCATCATATGGAGAGACGAATGCTACAGGAGAGGCATGTGCTAAGTAAGTATAAGAGGAGAGGTTAACTGCCGGCCAGAGCTTCCCTGGCAAATAAGGGAAGGCTGCATTACTGGCAAAAGGAAAAACGTAATGACAGTCAAGAAGTAATGGATGGAAGGACAGGGAAGGATGAAGGATTTAGGATTGTAATCCTTCAAGACCTGATTATTGAGGGTCTTGAATGTTAATTTATACTCTGGACATTATGGAGTAGGTAACAGGAAGTACTGAAGAGTTTTAATCCATGGAGTTGCATTATCAGGTCTGTGTTTTAAAAGATAATTGGCAAAAAATGCAGAGAATATATTGGAAAGGGGAGAGATTGAAGGCAAGGAGATGAATTAGAAAGCTGCTACAGAAATTCAACAGAAACCTTATTTGGACCTAACTCAGGCAATAGCAGTGGGAAAGGAGATGTTTAGAAGGTAAAATTAACGAGATTCTTTGAATGCTTAGATGTGGTTTCTAAAGGCAGTGAGGAAGTGAAGATAGCTCTTGGATTCCTAAAAGAAATTATTTAGTATTTGGAGATTCACTTAGATATCAGCCATTTCAGATTTTACTTGTGATACATGCACACCAGTTTACATATGGTATTCCACACAGACATGCCTGGGAAATGGAGGTATATATGATAAATGACAATCAAGAGATTAAAAATCTACTTGGAATTCCGATTGTGTTTTAGTTTTAGAAACTGAGCAATTTCTTTCTTTTTCATTACCAAGAGGAGGATACAGTATGATTTCTACCACGTGCACTTTGGTGTCTTTCAGACATCTTTAAAATGGCAAAATAGGGTAAATGTGAAGTGGTAAACCTCTTGCGTAGGCTGGATTTACATATAAGCACCTTTATATTATGAGGAAATTATTATGTGCTTTTACTGATACAATTATAATTGGAAAGTTTTTAGGGGAATTGAAAGACTCATTCGAACTACCTCTTTCTCTCTAAGAATAAAAAACCAAAAAATAAAAATAAAAACCAAGACTTTAAGAACTATTAACTCCACTAGCAAAAATGACCTTTTCTGGCTTTAGTGAATTCTGTTATCCATTTTAGGGTTTCACATTTGAACTCATTTTTTATTCATCTCTGGCAAGCAAAGATTTCTATTTTCTTAGGATTTTTTTTTCCTCTCTATTTTAATACAGAGTTTTTGGGTCTTCCTTAATAAGATTCTTGAGCTTCTTAAAATAGGAAGATGGCTTTGATAATTTTAAGTAACAGAAATTGTGGGGGATTATGCTAGGAATAACTTCTTTAAGCGTGTAATTAATGTATTTTCCTTTTTGTATCATCCATAATGCATTTTATTTTTGTGACTATGTGTTGCAGATCTTATACAAAGCCAAAGGAGAAGATGTGAAACATAAATATACGATGGGTCCTGATGTTCCTCAATTTCTCCAGGCCAAGTGCAATGCTTACAATATAAGTGATGTAAGTAGGGGTTTTGATGGGGGTGTGAAATCCAGACCTGGTGATAAAATAATAGAATTTTAGAGTATGACAGGGCTTTGACAATTTAGGTCCATTTTCTCCATAGCCCCCGTTAGAGCATATCCCATGATGATGGTTCTGTACCTCTTGAGTTGGCCTTTTCAAGTGTAGGACAACTCTAAAGGGTATAGCATTCTTCTTTGTGTCAAGCTCAACACATATTCCTCTAGTTTTCCTAGTTCTGCACATGGAGGAAGTTTGTATCCTCCAGAAAAATAAGGATAAATGAAATCTCCCCCCCCACCTTTTGTTTTAACAACAACCCTAAAATTTCTAAAGCTAACCACCAGGTCTTTCCTGGACCTTCCTTTCTTAAGATTGAACTTCATTTTCTCCAGTTGGTTCTCACATACTGTGGTTTCCAGGACCTTTATTATTCTCCTCTGGATCCACTCCAGTTTCTCAATTTCCCTCTTCAGTATGTGTCCAAACCAGACTTGGGTGAATGATTAGTACAGAGTCTAATAATTTTATGCTATACAATTTCATGTATGACATTTTGCTAATGTGACTTCTGTTTTTTAAATTGAAGTATAGTTGATTTACCATTAATGTGACTTCTTAAAACTGTGTGCTATAGGAGATTCTTCTAGCTTCTATCTGGAAAAGAACAAAGCAATCCCAGCTGTTGAGGAATCAGTGTAGCTGATTACCCCACAGCATGCTGACATCCTTTTTCCTTTTCCATCGCAGGTCTGTTATAAACGGGACTGGCATGATTTAATAGCCAAGGGCAACAATGTGCTGGGTGACTCTATACCCATCACTGCAGCCAAAGCATCGAGAAACATTGCCAGTGACGTAAGTAAAAATTTTAGGTGAAATCTGGGTGATTGTCTTTTTTACAAAGTAATCAAATGGGTGCTTGTTAAAATGATACCACATTGAAAACAGTATGTTGAATTAATGACATTTAAATTCTCCACAAAATATTGTTTTGAAAACCTGTCACTTTTCCAATGTTTTGTGATTCTTTTCAGTTGACCCCACTTGGTAGAGCTGTCATAAATCTGACAGTGGCTTTCTCTCCTGATTCATAGCCCCAAATTACCTTCCCTGACACATTTCCCTGACAGCCCACATTTATTTTCAGGGAGAATATCCCACCTGTCACTAACACGTTAAATTCAGATGACTGCCTTCATTATAATTGTATTAAGAAGATTGAAAAAATATTAAATAAAATGTACAGATTTTATAAACCAAATGGGAAAAAGCCCACTTTTCTAGAATATAATTTTGATTTATTTCATCTGTAATAGAAAAAGTATACACTTATACTTCTTCTCATCATTGAAAAACAAAATTTTCCAAAAGCACGCACACCCCAAAGATTTCACTGTCACACACTATTCCAGAGGTTACACTTCGTCTGAGACAAGAAAAGAAAGAAACCACGTGTACAGACCATGTGGAAGATAGGGTGTAAGAATTCTACAGCCTTCCATGTAGGGATGGTACTGAAAATATGTTCTTCAAAGCTTTGCACATCACTCTGAAATACATTTCTAGTTTAAGGAGAAAGTGACAGTCTAAAATATGACATTATCATTTTTATTTTTAGCCCTTGCACAGAACTTTTTCTGACATGCCTAGAAATTACTTGATAATTCTTTTGCCTGCTAAACTCTTGTTTATAAATTGGTGCTTAAATGGCAGGAGCAGAGTGTCTTCAGAGTTTGGGTGGATTTGAATTCTCTTACATAAAAATTGAGGTTTTGATTTGTTACCTACTGTATAGCTCAGTTTACACCCCATTGCCGATCTCAGCGGTGAGAGACCTTGGACCGCAGAGCTTTTGCAGTCAGTCTTTTACTGATGAGGAAAGGTCTCGGTGGTTCCTGCCCTTATTATATAGTTCCTTAATTCATCTGCAGCTGCTTCAGCAGTGAGCTTGGAGAGTAGCTGCTGAGAAATGGGGTTGGGTGAAGGCCTAGCTACCTGCCAAAGAAGAGGTTTTTTTTGTTTAACCATATTAGGTCAACTGAGACAACAAACATAGTAATATTTTCCATCCCCCACCCCAAAGAGATCTGAGTATAAACGTCTTGCATGTACAGTTCTTTAGAGTTTCTTCTGCACCTGTTGTGTACAGATCCTGGGCCAATCAGAATCGAAAACAGAAGTATTTCTGGTATTCTGTGATGTGAACTAACATGTTGGATTAGGAAAATTCACATCCCTGGAAAACCAAGAGATGTATCTGGAATGTAGTCTTATATTTTGGAATATGTTATGTTTATATTAAGTGTGAAAACTTAATAGAGTTGGCTCTATATAAAGTTCCACATGCAAATCATCTATAGCATTCGTAGCAAAGAAAAGAAACTGCTCCTGAATTTATCATGATACCCATTTATAACCCAGCAGTGTTGGAAATAAATGCTTTCAGTGTAAACTTCCTGGGGTTGGAGGGCATGGGGTGTGGACTGTATTTCTTGTACAGTCTTCCAGAGAGTCACAATATTCTGAATGCCTTTGTGTGTGAATATAATCACTCCACCTAATGTTCCCAATGCTTAGGACTTTGCTAACCAAATTCTGCCTCCACAGTATAAATACAAGGAAGCTTACGAGAAGGCAAAGGGAAAGCATGTGGGTTTTAGAAGCCTCCAGGATGATCCTAAGCTCGTCCACTATACGAATGTGGCAAAGTTACAGTCTGATCGTGAATACAAGAAGAACTATGAAAACACCAAAACCAGCTACCATACCCCTGGGGACATGGTTAGCATTACAGCTGCAAAGATGGCCCAGGATGTTGCCACCAACGTCAACTACAAGCAGCCGATACATCACTACACATACCTACCTGATGCCCTGAGTCTTGAGCATACCAGGAATATGAATCAAATTCAGAGTGATGTGAGTATGTATAACATTATAGACCTAGAGATACTGGTACTGAACAGGTGATCATTTCTTCCTATTTTAGTAGACTTCACAATACAATAAGGTATTTGAAAAATGTGCTTTAAAATATACAGTCATCATTGAAAGCGTAACAAAGGCATGGTAGACACGCTGTGTTTTACTAGCTTTCTGTGCTCTTATCGCAATCATTGATATTATCTTTATTAACTTATGGATCAAAGCTAAAGCCATGTTCTACTAAGTACATAAGCCACCCTGGTTCTCAACAAAAGGAAATGGTTACTCCTGGTGGGCCTGCTTCAACAGCAATATGTATAATGCAAAATAGGAGCATTCTCTATTCTTCCTGAATTCAGGAATGTTCTTTTCTTTCTTCTTCTTCTATTTTTGAACTCAAGGTCACACTCTCATGCATGTAAATGTATGTAACGAGTCATCTAAAATGAACCAGGAGGGTTTTGTGATTGCAGCATGACTCATGGAGAGCTGCATGGGGGAGGGTGTTTAATATTCAGAGCATTTCCTGCTGCAGGAGCCAGGTTTTTGTAAGAATCATCCTTCGTAAAGGGAAAAAATTGTGTTCCTTTATTGTTGCTCAATGAGAATGTCTCTCTCCAACCGAGATGGAGGAGCCCAGGTGGACGGTGTGGGTGAAATTCAGAAGTTGTGGAGATTTCAGTGAAATCAAAAGGAAAGCCCAATTTATTGTCAGAAGAGACACTTTTTTTTTTTTTTTTTTTTTTTTTTAGCAGTACCCATGGAAATATGTGGCCTACATTCTCTCCTGGAGTGTTAATGCACTCTAACAACAGAACTGCTTTTTCTTATGACCAAATTCTGGGTAAGAAGCTCTGTGGCAGAGATAGCCCAAAGCTCCAGTATAGACACAGGCATGCTGACAGGTTGCTCTTCATTCCCCCCTGGATAGAATTACAGATTCCAGAAACAGCTCTTGAGTATGCACTAGGATATCCCCTCATCTGAGATTACTCTTTTACAGAATGTATATAAAGATGAGTACAACAACTTCTTCAAGGGCATTGGATGGATCCCTATTGGTTCTGTGGAGGTTGAGAAGGCCAAGAAAGCAGGCAATGCATTAAATGAGAGAAAGTACCGACAGCACCCAGATACCATCAAGTTCACAAGTGTGCCTGATTCCATGGGCATGGTTTTGGCTCAGCACAACACAAAGCAGCTAAGTGATGTAAGTGGTTTTCCTTCAAAGAGTTTTGTCCATGAATAACCCCATGACCAGTTACTCCACAATCCTTCTTAATTCAATTCATGAGTGTGCATCTATCTTAGTAAATCATCTGCTTTCAGAGGTATATCAAAAGGTTTTACTTTTGAAGCAACTTGGGACTTAAGAAAAAGGAGAGAAGGACGATGTTCCAAGTTTGCTTAGTTTTCCAAATGTAGAGAGTCTATGTTATTTATAAGCAGACCCCTTACACTATACATAGGAAATAAAATTATTTCTATTATAATCTGTGACCTTGTCTGAATTGCAAACCAAGATATTTATTGCTCTGAGTTGCAAGAGTTCTACCTAGCCAGATGAGGGGAAGACTAATGTCCTAATCCTCTTGCAAAATAAATAGGGCGATATTCTGAGAGAGAGAGACGCCTCTGGGGAAGAGTTAAGCAGTTTGCTTTCAGAGTCATCCAGAGTCTTTTTTCTGAGCCGAGGTCTACCTGGACCCTTTCTCTTAGTCAGAGGCTAATTACAATGCTCAGTGCTTCACCTCATTTGATAATTTCAGATTTCTAAGATACCTCCCCCAGAAAGAGAGTGGTAAGTAAAAAACAAAGAGAGGACTTTTTGTGTCTTTAACCCCAGATATTCGAAGGTGGGGAATGCATTCTTCGGTTCAGATTTGAGGGTTTTCTGGATTTTATTTCTCAGACCAGTCCCACATTACCACAGATGTTTCAAGATTAATTCTATTCTAGTGGTACTAAATGGTGTAGATTGTTCTGATTTCTTTTGTACTGACCGAGGTGTCACTTCTCCCTGTGTTTTTCCAGTTAGCTAGGAAAACCCTAAACTCACTATATTAAGTCCCAATAAATGCCGTCATCCCAGTGAATGCCATCAACATCTACCTGGTTACTCAAGCCTGAAACCTGGCAGTCACCATTGACACCTCCCCATGTGAACCCCCCTCATCCAACGCATCTACTGAGCTAGCCTCCCAAATCTCTCAGCCATCCTGTTGGAGCACTTCTCTGTCTTTCAGCTGCCACCAACCCTAGTTCTGGCCTCCATATCTCACGTGGACAACTGTAATAATCCATTACCTGGACTCCCTGCCTGGGGTCACACAAAAACCAAAAAGACTGTCTTAAGACATAAATCAAATCATGTCCTTCTTATACTTAAAACCCCTTAGTAGCTTCTCCTTGAACTCAAAGTAAAATCTAAACTGTTAACTTGGTTGAAAAGGCCCTCAGCTCTGTGCCCCTGCCCCCTTCCTGTCTAATCCTCCTGAGACCCCGCTCAGCACATTCCAGCCCAGTGACCTTCAGTTCCTCAAGCTAGCCATGCCCCTTCTAGACCCAGGACCCTGAATGTTCTTCTTCTGCCCTGACCCTTCCCTTTTCTTCAAGTTTGTGTGTAAATGTTACCTTTTTAGAGAGCCTTTGCTGACTCCCCACACTGACCCTGTTCATTTCTTTCCTAAAGTTATTTTATTTACAACACATCACGAATTCTAGCTCTATCTTACAGTTTATGTGCTATTCTCTGTTTCCTCTATTGGACTATAAGCTCCAAGAGGACAGGTCTGCCTTTTTCTTTTTAACCACTTTAAACACAGAACCTACCATGTTGCCTATTGATCAGAGTGCTGTCCAATAAATATGGGTGGAATGAGCAATGAATATGTCTGCCAACACTCCCTCTGTGTGATAATGTAGCTAATTGCCTTATAAATGAAAAAACACAAACGATAGTCTTCCTTTTTAAAGGAACGTGTGCTGGATGAAACTTACATTATGTCAGCTAATACGATTTGCTTTGCACGCTGCCTCCTTTGTTTTTAGTTGAACTACAAGGTGGAGGGAGAGAAACTGAAGCACAAGTACACTATGGACCCTGATGTACCGCAGTTTATTCAAGCCAAGGTCAATGCCTTCAACATAAGTGATGTGAGTATTTGGCCTGGTGCCCGTCTAGTATTGCTTACATGGGCCTCTCCTTTCCAGTTCTATATAACTCTAGCACTGGGAATTTTAGGGGGAGCAAACTGAGTGTGGACCCTTTGAGTCTTTGATGGAGGAGGTCATTGAGAGGACACGATTGACAGGTGACCCTTGACCTGGACCTGGGGAATTGGAGGCTCCTCACCCCCTCCAGTCCTTGGAATGTAAGTTCTGCCCACTGTTCCCACAGTGGGAGCCATTTTCAAGGACACAGCCTTGAGAGACCAATGTGTTGTTGAGACCACTTGCACTGAATCCACTTGAGGCCTAAATATACTTGTAAGGTTCTGGCGGGCGGGTGTGAAGATCTACTTGTCTTGTGACTGCCTAAGGCAACCCTCGAATGTAAGTTCCCTTGTTTATTAAGCCTGCCGCCTACCAAGCTGGAGTGGTCAGCCTGTTTTTTCAGTCTCTCCTTGCCCTCCATGTACGGGGACCAATTTGCGAACCAACAGTCTCCAGATTGGATCCTTATCATAGAATATGAGACTAGAGCCTACCATACATTTCACCTAATGCAGACTTTTCCCAACTGTGGGCTATGACTCATTAGTGGGTTATAAAATCAATCTAGTAGGTTGTGTTCCATTTTTTAAAAAGTAAAACGAAATAGGACAGAGAGGATTGGAAAATACAGGAATGCATGGTCTGTAGTAAGGATAAGTATTGCTATTTCTATAATTTTTGTTTCAGTTATTTCTTAAAATTCTAAACTTCTAAACAAGTTTACCGTGATTTTCTTTAGAAACTCTTCTTTGTATGTGACTAGCATCTCTCTCTAATTGGTGGCGATGTTTAAATTTACTATTATGAATTCTTTCCTTTTGCTTTTAAAGCAAATTGGTAAATTCTAATTTAAAGACATAATCCAACCTGGATAAAATTGTTCATTTCTTAAAAGATGATTTAGTCATTCTTCCTAACATTTTAGGCTCTCTTTTATCTCCAAATAAACATTTTTTAAAGTACTCATTTCTATGCTTTTGGTTTATTTAAAACTTGTTCCTGCTTTTATAAGTAATATTTAAACATTAATATTAATTAAAGCTGGGTGGTACTACATCTGAACTTTTAATTTTAGTACCCACATCTTTCTGTAAGTTTAAAATGTTTCATTGTAAAAAATACAAGAAAATAAAAGCATTACATGCTTATTATAGAAAAATTGGAAAATATAGAAAATTATGAAAAAATTAAAATCTTCTGTTATCCCACATTCAAAGCAATACCTTTCCATTGCTTTTTTTAATGCACACATATACATTTTTACAGCAGTTGAGATCATGCTGTGTATATAGTTTACTGATTTTTTTTTAAAAGAATAATAGATTTCTAAAAGATGAACTAAGAGCCCTAACTCTGGATTCTTTTAATAGAAAGGGATATATTATGACATGTTTTATAAGGAAGACTTTGGTTTCCTGTTTCATTCCTCTTTTAATTATGTCAGATCATAAAATAATCTTTCCTTTTTTCAAGGCTAAGTATAAAGCAGATTGGAAGAAAACCCTTGCTAAGGGCTATGATTTGAGACCAGATGCCATTCCAATTGTTGCTGCAAAAAGTTCAAGGAATATTGCTAGCGATGTAAGTCTAATTTGAAAGTAGTAAACTCTCTTTATATTTAAAAAATATTTACATGGTGTATGAGGTTATATGAGCTATATTAGGAAGCAAATAAAAAATTGTAGTATAAAAATAATTCCTAATATCTTAGATACCAATGATTTTTTTATCTTAAAAATATTTAAAAACTCAGTAAGTTGTTACAAAGAAGATAATTTTTTTAAAATGTCAAATACATGGAATTCTCATTAGTATTATTATTATGAACTTGAAAACTGCTTTTTATTTGGATTTTGTTAAGAAAAAAGCCTTGGTATACTAAAATATTACTAAATCAAGAAAGTCTCCCAGTATTTTAAAAGAATACAATTTTTTGATAATATAATTTCCATAAGGAAAAAAATCTGGTGAAATATGGAAAATCAGGAAGAATTATATATTAAATGACAGCATTTCAGTTACCTGCTAACTTATTTACTTACTTAATTAATTATTTTTTATAAATTAAGTTATATTTTCTATAGGAATTGATATACCTTGATAGCGTAGAAACTCGTTCATTTGGAGTCCAATATACTAATTTTTATAATGTCTTTGCTGCAGTTTACTCAGGATTATGCAAATAGTTTATAAGGTGATGCAAATTAATCATAAAAACAGATAATAAAAACTATGTACACCAAATCCTTAATAAACTTTTCAGGAACCTTTGATCATATTCAAAGAATCCACTTATGAATAATCTAGATATAAACTACAATTTCTTCCATTCTTAATTATCCCCAGAGCAGATCTTAAGACCATCCATTGGAAATACTTTGCTAGTTGTTTACTTAAAAATACTAAAAAACTTAGGTGTTACCTAGATTCAGAATGAATTTGGCTATTGCTTAATTTGTGATATAAATTCATACAATCTACCCTATCAAACTTCTGTCTGCCCTTCTTTTTCATGTAGTTCAAATATAAGGAGGCCTACGAGAAAGCCAAAGGCAAACAAATTGGATTTCTCAGTCTTCAGGATGATCCTAAACTGGTTCACTACATGAATGTAGCCAAAATACAGTCAGATCGTGAGTACAAAAAGGGCTATGAAGCCAGCAAGACCAAGTATCACACCCCCTTGGATATGTTCAGTGTGACAGCAGCCAAGAAATCTCAGGAGGTCGCCACCAACACCAACTACAGACAGCCCTTCCACCACTACACCCTGCTGCCTGATGCCTTGAACGTGGAGCATTCCAGGAACGCAATGCAGATTCAAAGTGACGTATGTAGCAGTCATCAGATTGTCAGGATAAAATTAGTTATCCATTTCTAGCTGACGGCTAAGAAGAACTAGAAATCGGCAATTCCATTTACTCCATCCTAAACCTGGTTGGACTCACTGTAATTAGGGATCCTCTCCAGAATTTGGAGTTTTAGGATTTCACTCATTTGAACTATATATATAGTTTTCTTTAGTTATTATGTATATATATACTTAAACTTTGGAAGTTAGACCCAATATATGTTGTATTCTGTGAAAGACTAACAGGTCCAAATGGGTGCTATGTAATTTCCCTTCCAGTGCAAAATTCTGTTAACGCTCCCCCCAAGAAAGTTAAATTTTTAAAGGAATTATTGGGTCAGGATTTTCTGTTCAAAACCACCATGAATACAATCACTTTATAATTAATTTTTTTCTGAAGGATGGTAGGGAATAAAAAGCAGGTTATTCTCCCAGTCCCCCCATCCTTTTTTTTTTTTTTTTTTTTCCTCTTTTTGAAAATGAGCAAATCATCTGGTCAAAGAAACCCAAGCCCTGACTCTTTCTGAAATGAGAATTTCCTTTTTCATTGTGAAGAACCTCTACAAATCCGACTTCACCAATTGGATGAAAGGGATCGGCTGGGTGCCCATAGAGTCACTGGAGGTGGAGAAGGCAAAGAAAGCAGGAGAGATTCTCAGCGAGAAGAAGTACCGCCAGCACCCTGAGAAGCTAAAGTTCACATACGCCATGGACACAGTGGAACAAGCACTAAACAGAAGTAACAAACTGATTATGAACAAGGTAAGAACTCACCTGCTGGCCTCAGCCTCAGAACCCCTGCAGTGCTCAGACCATTGAACCAGGCAGTGCCACTTTGACCTTCATCAGCGTTTTCATCTTTCTGATGGTCGTGGTCATGGCGGTGGTGGTAGGAGGGGGCAGTCTATAACCATCATCGTGTCTAGAGAGCTCCCACTTATACCACCCCCAGGTTGTCTGTCAACCTCATGCTGAGTGTGTGCTAGAACCACGAAACTCTATGTAATGTGTGGTTGGAGCAAGATAGCCTTTGTTGTTTCAGTGGAAGAGGGCTCCCTTGTTTGATGATTTTTAAAATCATGTGTCCAGTCTTATCAGCCCATCTTCTTGCTATTTCATTCATTTTCCAATATCAGATTTAACCTCTTCTACCATGGAGATGTGAGTCTCTTCCTCTTGATAGCACATTGCAGATTTGCCCTGCTGTACAAATTTGTCCTGCTGTCATGTGCCTGCCTTTCTTGTAGAGGCTCTACACTGAAAAATGGAACAAAGACAAGACCACCATTCACGTCATGCCTGATACTCCACACATTTTACTCTCCAGAGTCAACCAAATCACCATGAGTGATGTGAGTAGATTAACAACAACAACAAAGATGCAGGGAGCTGGGGGGTGTGGGGTGGTGGCGGGGGGGGGGGA